CAGCTTTCTGCCTGGGTTGCCCTGACCCACCTGTGGCTGCGGCTGTGGCTCTCCGGAAGTTCTGGACATCCCTGGGGCCAGGAGGCAGCGGGGGCTTGGCTGGAGGGGGTCCCAGGCTGCTGACTGGGGGCAGAGGCCTCCGCCGGGGTGGGTAGCTGGGTTTGAGGCCCAGCCTCGACCCTCCACTCTGAGTGGGAGCTCCTGACCTCTGCTGCCTGGCTCCAAAGCCAGGGCTGAGTGGGAGCCTGGGGCGGGTGACGGCAGTGGGGAGCGAGCTCTCCGAAACAGAGCCGGGGAGGGGGGGCTTTTTAGGGAGATCACCAAAGAAATCAGCGTGCAGGTGCTTCTTGGGCAGAGCACTAGACTCGGGCTGCGAGAACTTTCCCGGGGGGCCCTGGCACTCAGGCTGCAGAAACTTCCTGGGGAGCAGGCCAAACTCGGGCTCCGAGGACACCCTGGGGAGGCTCCCCAGCTCAGGCTGCAGGGGCTTCTTGGAGGGTGCTTTGAATTCAGACTGCCGTGGCCGCTTGGGAAACACACTGACTTCAGGCTCTGAGGACCTCCTGGTGAGGTCACCAAAATCAGGGTGCAGGAGCTTCTTGGGGAGGTCATTCAGCTGAGGGGCTGGGATCTTTTTGGGAAATGCATTGAAATTGGGCTGTGAGGAGTGGGGGTGGGGCTCACTGGACTCAGGCTTCCAGGGGGGTGTCTGAGGGACCTCACTAAACTCAGGCTGTGGCAGAGATTTCTTAGGGAGGCCACCACCCTGAGGATGCGGGGGTTTTCTGGGGTGCACACTGAACTCAGGCAGTGGGGGCTTCTTGGGAAGTGTACTGAAATCGGGCTGGGAGGAGTGGGGCTGGGGCTCACTGGACGTAGGCTTCCAGGGGGGCATCTGAGGGAACTCACCGAAATCAGGCTGTGGCAGGGATTTCTTAGGGAGGCCACCGACCTGAGGCTGTGGGGGCTTTCTGGGGTGCACACTGAACTCGAGCTGAGGGGGCTTCTTGGGAAGGGTACCGAAGTCAGGCTGGGAGGGGTTTGGGGTGGCCTCGTTGGGCTCAGGCTGCTGGGGCTTCTTGGGGAAGGCACTGGATTTGGGCTCTGGCGGGTTGTTGGCAGGGTGGCCAGGCTCAGGCTGCAAAGCTTTCTGAGGGGCCTCGAGCTGTGGGAACTTCTTGGAGGGTTCACTTGGCTCAGGTTTGGGGGACTTCCTGGGCAGATCAGTGCAGCTGGGCTGCAGGGGCTTCTTGGGGTGCTGCTCGCTTAGCTCAGGTGGCGGAAACTTCTTTAGAAGTTTGTTGAACTCAGGCTTTGGGGTTTTTTTGGGGTGTTTGCTGGTCTCGAGCTGAGAGGCCTGGAACTTTGCTTGAAGGCTCCGGAAGTCCTGATGGCTCCCCTAAGGGACATGGAGCCAATCAGGCAGGGACTCACACAAGGGTTCTCCTAGCTCCTCTTTGCCACCCTTTGTCATTGGCTCGCTCTCCTGTTGGCTGGGGCCTCCCACATTTGTCTCCAGGCTCCCTGGAGTCCTGACCTCTCCACTTAGGCACTGCATATGCCCACAACCTCATCCCCATGAGGACCCAGGCTCCCGAGGCTCCCCCATAGCCTCTGCTCCCACAGTTGGTGGTGCCTTCTAAGTGTCCTTGAGAATACCCTGTGCTTTCATGCTCCACATCCCTAGTGCCTTCTGTTCTTATTTCAAAATACATCCAGAATCTCACTGCCTGTACCGCTGTCATGCTGGCTGGAGGAACCCAGGCTCCTCCCCGGTCTCCTGCCTCCCCCTCTGCCCCCCGCACCCCCGTCTCTGGCCAGGACCCTCCCCCACAGCAGCTGGAGGAAGCCCCTCTGCTCAAAATCTGGCAATGCTTCATTTCCCCATGGTAAAAGCTAAAGATCTCATGAAAAAGGCCTTAAACCATCAATCTGCCTCTCTTACCCAGTTACCTGGGTCTGGCCTCCGCCTCTCCCCTGCTCTCCCCCCGCCCCCAACCCCTCTCGGGCCTTTGTCCTGCCCTTGCCTCTTCGACCTCCAGGTCTCTGCTGATATTTAATTAGAGAGGCCTTCCTCCCAGACCACCCTCATCTAAAAAAATTGATTTCCCCTTCGCAGAACTCTCCATTCTTCCCAACCTACTTTTTTTCTCTCAGTACCTGCCACTATGTATCATACAGTTTATTTTATATTATTTCACATATGTGCCTTGGCTTGTTTGTTCTCTCTGCCCCCCCCCTCAGCCCCTGTGGAAGGTCAGTGACTTGGCTCACTCATTGCTGTCCTCCCAGGGTGTGGCACACTGTTGGTGCTCAGTAGATGTTTGCTGAAATATACAGGATACAAAGGCATATACTCAGCCACGTCCAGTCTGATTGTCACAGACTCATGTAGAAAGACGTGGAGAGACACAGAGAGACCTGGAGGCAGTTGTGGGCTCAGAGTCTCACGGTCCCAGACACCCTTTGTTGACGGTCAGGGCACTCACAGTCGACAACACCCAGGAGAAGCGGCAAGCCGGCCCAAGCAGCGGCCCGGTCAGGCACGTGCACCGTCTGTGGTGCACTTAGTCCATCCCAGGTACCGTCTCAACTGGCCCCATGCTGTCCGTAACAGACGTAGGCAGGTGCACAAGTAGGCCAGGCCTGCTCTGATTAGGGGGCCTGCTCTGGCCTGCAGGCCCCCAAGCCTGGCTTCACCTGGACCCTTGGAGACTGGGGAGGGGGAAAGGGCAGAACCGTGGAGACTGTGCTCCTGTCTGTGCCCCACCCAGAGAACAAGGAAAGGTAGTGGTCCCTGCCTCGGGCCTGAAATGCCTCTATTAAAGCCCCGCTCCAGGTGGGTCGGGGGAAGGATTCCCGGGTCACCCACAGGACCAGAGAAATCAGGGTCAGCAGGTCATGTCTTGGGTGACTGCTGGGGTCAGGGGTGGGTGGTGGGTACATGACCCACTTTGTCACCCGCAGGAAGCCCCTCTGTTCACCCTGGCCTCCTGTCCCCAGGTTGCTGTTCATGCTGACCTGGGAGGAGAGTAGTCTGGGCCATCTGCCTGTTCTCCCTATTCAAGTCCCAGCCCCAGCCTGGGCCACAGGCCCCTTGGGGCCCCAGCTGTCCCAGGGATGCATCCTGGCTGCTCCCACCTCTGGGCCTTTGTGATGGCCCTTGCCATTTCCCCGGGGATGAGGGGACTCTCCTAGGGTTGGGGGTTCACTCACCATGCCTGCAGGCGGGTGATGGGCCACAGGGCAAGTGGGACCTGAGCTGGGCCGGTGCCTTCAGGAAGTGACTGTGGCTTCTGCTCCCTGGGCCCCACGGGGGTGGGGGATGCTGGCGGGGTGGGGAGGACAGAGGAGGAAGGAAAGGAGGCGGAGACAGCCGCCGCCTGTCCCCAGATCCCTGCCTTGCACTTGAGTTCCTGTCCTGCCTGCTACTGTCTCCATGGTCTCCGTGCTTCGTGCATCGGCTGTCAGCACATGCCCAAATGTGGCCACCAGTTGTTTGACTCTGTTTCTGGGGGCTGGCTGACTTCTGGTCTCCAGAGAGAACTCCGTGCCAGGCCCTGAGGGCCTCCTTGGGAGGGGGAGTTCTCTGGGGGTAAGGGGCATGGTCAGCTCTGGGCCAGGAGACTCAGGAGTTGGAAGAGCGTGATGGGTGAGGCCCTTCTGCCGGCTCGTTGCCTCATCCGCCTGCCTCATTTCCACACTTCCCTACTGTCAGATTCTCAGCTCTGAGCAGGACTTCCCTATTATAGGGGCAGATGTCACATGGGTCGTGGACGGCTGTGGGGAGGCAGAGGGCCCCGCTGGGATGGCAGATTTGGGGGTGGGTGGGTTGGGTGGGTAGTAGCTAAGGCGTTGCCCTCCCCCACTCCGGGGAGGGAGGGAGCCTGAGGGCCAAGGGGGAGGAAATGGAGACAGCAGGGAGAGCAGTGAAGGAGGGGCAAAGGGGGTGGGTCGAACTAGCGCTGTGGGGGCATGAGGCCGAGCCAGAGAGAGGTGAGCCCTAACCACAGGGCTTGGTCTGCAGGAGGTCACTGACTTTGGGCACAAACAAAGGGAGAGTGCAGAGCCCTGATTCTCAAGTTTTAGCTATACATGGAAATAGCTTTAGAAGTTTACGAAAAGATGGAAGCTCCTGGAGATTCTGAATTGGCCTGACCCTGGGGATTTCTTTTTTTTTGAAGTGACCTCTACACCAAACTCGGGACTTGAACTCACAACCCCGAGATCAAGACTCCTACTCCTCTGAGCCAGCCAGGTGCCCTGAGCCTGGGCAATCTCTTAAACACTCAGGGTGATTCTCATGTGCCCAGGAGTCGCCCTGAGACCCCATGAAAGTGCAGGTTCTGCCTCAGGTCCGTGGTGGAGCCTCAGGTTTCTAAAGATCCTAGGTGATGCCCTGGAGTGGTGGGGTTGTAGACGGATCCAGTCTGTCTTGAGGACACTGCATCCCCGGCTGGAGCCGTTCATTATCTCCCTGCCATGGAGGCCACAGGCCGCACAGTCGGAAAGGACTCTGCCTGTTTGTGTCTTTTAAGAGGCACAGCTTGAGGATTCTGGAGCCTCTGTGCCTGCCCATCCCCATCCTGCACTAGCACGCGTGCACCCTGGGTCACATTCCCAGATGTGGGGTCCCCTTGGAACAGGAGTCCCAGGAGACCAGGGATGATGAGAGTGGGTCCTCCCTGGGTCTCTGGGACAAGCCAGCACAGGCTGCTCACAGGCTGCGCACAGGCTGACTGACCCTCCCAGAGTTTGGTGAATGAGGGAAATGAATTAATGAAACAAGTGATTATTGGCCAAGAGCATACAGTAGGTGCCCAATCAAGGTAAGGTAAAGGACTGAACGCTGGTGACAAGCTGGTGACTTCCCAGGCTCTAAGGCCAGCCACCCCGTGTGAACCCCCCCCCAGGCCTGGAACTCAGTTTGGAGGGTCCCACCCTGGCAAGCCCTATTCCTCCACGGTCCCCAGGAGGTGTCCCCCCCGCCCCTCCCCCCACACCCCTTTGTGTTTGGAGCCTTCCAGGTGGCTCTGGGCTGGACTGCAAAGCGCGGCCATTAACTTGGGCAGGAGGTTCCACAGATGGAATTGAGGAACCTGAAGCCCGAAGTGAGCCTGGGCCACAAGGGTCTGCCTTGGGGTTTCAGTGGTGGTGGGGCGTGCGGGGAGGTGTTGGCTTCAGGGAGCCTGTGGAACAATGGGCTAAGGAGGGGTCCCGGGATTCTGAGCACATGGCGGGGCTGGTGAGCCAGAGCAGGCGCAAGAGCAGGGACATGCACCTGGTTGCCCTGGGTCAGGGGACAGACACGGTGGTGGTCTCCACGCTCAGCCACATGTCCAAGTGCACGCAGTCGAGGACTGAGCACGTGGGCAGCCCATCCTGGGGGTCGAGGGGCGCACGGAGGATCAGGGGCCTGGGATGGCAGTGCTCGCATCCAGGTCAAAGGCAGGGCTTTGGGACATGCACCCAGGAGCCTTGCTTCCCCTCTCCCGGTCTTGTGATGGGGCTGGTCCTGGACAACTGCTGGACTGGCACCTGGCCGCACTCAGCTGATGTAAGCTGCCTGGAGAGGCTCGGCCTCTTCAGTGCAAACCTGCAGCCTCTTATCAACCAGCCCCCCGTTGGGCTAGCTGGGCAAAGTGGATGACTGCTCTGATCCGCTGGCCTGTCCTTCCATCTTCCTTCAAGACTGGCACTCCTGGGCGCCCTCTGCTGGGCCGAGCTGGGGCAGACAGAAGACTTGGCGGTCAATCAGGCTTTTTGCAGTCGGGGGAAGGGGGGCCCTCTGAGGTCTCACTTTGGCCAGAGGGAGGGCAGGGGCTGCGGAAGCCCAGGAGAGACACTGGGAGATTTCCCAGTTAAGCTGAAAAAGTTGGACATGAGTTGGGAGGGGGCAAGGGTAGGAAGTTGCTTTTGGAGTGAGCAGTGTGCCCAGGCTCCTTTGGCCTCTGGGCAGTTTCAGGTTGCTGGGCTGGGGGAGGGCAGGGGACACTGTCCCCTTGGTAGAAGCTGTTGCGTTTACAAGGGTGATGGGGTGGGGTGGGGTACCTGGGCCAAGATACTGGCTCTGGGACTCTCTGGAAAGGTCCTGAGAGACTGGGAAGTGGCATTGCTTGGATTTGGGGGTGGCTGAATGAGAGCCCTGATGGGGGAAGGGCCTCTGACACCTTGGAGACAGGTTGGGTTCCTGGGGGAGAGGGAACCCTGAACCCTGTCCCCGGAGATGTGGGAAAAGGGGAGGTGTCCTTTGGTCCTCACTGCCTGGGTTTTCTTATAGATGGGAACCGTTCCCAGCTTCTAGGGTGGTACAGAATCAGTGAGGGAACTGGAGCTGGGCTTGGCTCAGTCATCCTACCCCCCTAGCCTCACCTCTAGCTGTAAAATGGGCCCCTTGATCCCACCCCACTTCCTTCCTGGGTTCTTTGTTGGGGGGTGTTCCAGGCAGCCATGGGCTTGGTAGCCAGAGGGATGTGAATCACTCACAAACATTTCTCAAGCCCCCACCCTCTCTCCCCAGTCCCTGTTTGAATCTTCACAAGGACTCCAGAGGGTAAGCATCCTGACACCCATCTTAAGGACTAGCAAAGTGAGATGCAGGGAGGTTGAGTCTTCTCCAGGGTCACAAAGCCCTGGCTTCAAGGCTCCTGGCTGGGAAGAGGAAAGCTCAGGGGTCCTGAAGCCCCAAGGTCCCCTGATGGCTCCGCCGGCCCGACAGCGGGTGCTGAGCGATATCTGCCTCAGCACGGGCCCGGAGGTGCTGGCAGAACAGACACCTGGCCTGAGCCAGCTGAGTCTCAGCTCCGACCCGGCAATGACACTGCAGCCCTGAAGCCCCGCGGGTGGGCTCCTGGGTGCAGGTGGGCCGGTCCTAAGGGCACTCAGATCAGCACCCCCCCCCCCAGCTTTCAGGAAAAGCAGAAGGGCCTCTGGAGCTTAGAGCTGTTCAACTGCAAGGAGGCTGGGGAGTTCTTGCTCAAAGACGGTCTGTGTTCCCCAGAAAGAGGATGATGAGGAGGAGGAGGAGAAGAGGAGAGGGATGAGGGAGGGGGTGGGTGTGTTCGAGATGGAGCCTCGTGGGTTATTAGAACAAGGTCTCCACTACCAGGCAGTAATGAGAAGAGACCCGTTTTCTGTGTTCAGACTGGGGGGAAAGGCAGGAAGGGTTGCTTCAGGTACCTGAGGAGGGGGAAGAGGGTCAGGAGCCTCGGCTAGGGGACCCTGGGGCTGGAAGGGAGCAAGATGCAGGAGGTAAAACTAGCTTCTGAGGGGTGGCTGCCAACAGCACGCCTAAGACTTCCACGTTCAGGAGGCTTGGCCCACTGGGTTTGGTGACAACAGCGCTGGGACAGCAGTGTGGCCCCAGATTTTGAACCCTGACCCAGGCCCGATTCCCCATGACAGAAGGGAAAAGGAGATCCTCATGGCTGGAAGACAGGGGAGGGGTGAGGAGGGAGGGAGCCCAGGCTCCCTAGGGCTGGCTTTGACCCACCCTCCTCCTCAGAGCCGACAAAGGGACAGAAATGAAAGCAAGCAGCCAAAGATGAGGGTCTGGAAGACAGTGAAGAAGACAAAACCAGAGCCCCTGGGGGCCCTGGCTCCAGCACCTCAACCCTGTCACCTGCGAGTCTGCACTGGCTTCAGGATTGGGGGGGGGGCGCTCCAGCAGGGTCAGCCCCAGCACTTTCTCAGGACCAGCCTGTCTTACTGACTCCTGGGACTTAAATAAAAGCGATGTTTCCATCCCATCTGGTTTCTGGAAATGGGACAAGAGGCACTGGCAGCCCCAACTACAGCTGGATAGGATAGCACTGGGCTGGAGACCTGGGTCCCAGTTGTTCAAGTGACAGGGGAGTGGTGAGGTTGAGGGGAGGCTTGTCCCCTCTCAGGGTGTGAGCACCCCAGGACTGCTAGACCGGCTGCTGTGCATCGGAGGGGCAAGGGACCCAGACACAGCACCGGCTGGCTCATCGCGCCTCCTTTATTAAGTCTCCCCACCCCCTCCATCTTAAGCCTCATTAAAATTACAAAACTACCCGCATCCTACAGTCCAGCCCCCCCCCCCCCCCCGCGGCGGGATTCAGAACGGCGAGAAAACCGGACACTCCCCCTCTGTCAGCAGCGGAGACACCTTGGGTGCAAGCGGGACCGGGTCTGGGTGGGGCAGAGGAGGGGGCGCCTGAGCCTCGGCCCCGCCCCTCGCCTCGGGGCCCCCGCCCTCCCCACCGGAGCGCTCCTCCGCCTTACCCGCCGGCGCGTCGGGGCGCGGCTGCCCGGGCCCCGGGGCCGCGGGGGCGATGGGCCGGTGGTCCTCCAGATGCAGTGTCATGGCGGGCCGCGAGGCCGTGGAGAAGGCGCACTGCATGCACGAGTAGCGGCCGCGCGTGTGCTCCCACACGATGCGGCTCGGGGCCGCGTGCCCTGCGGGCAGGCGGGACCCCGTCAGTCCCGGCCACCCCCAGGGACGGTGGACGTGGACGAGTGCGGGTCAGACCTTTCCCCGCCTCCCCATCAGCTCCCGGGCACCTGGCTGGTCTGGCCTGGCTGATCCATTGCTCCCGAGCGTGTTCCCTCCTGTAATTGGGGGGGGGGGGGGCACTAACTTGACTTATCCGAATCCCCCACTCCTATCCCTGGAACCACCGCAGAGGGAAGGACTTGGGAAGCGGGCGCGGGTTTTACACGGAAACGCCGGCGCAGATGAAGGCTCAGGGGCCAACAATTTTTAAGGCAAAAGTCGTGTATTTCGGGGGTGGCAGCTCTGGCCACCTGGGAAAGGGCGGGCAACGCTGCCTCCCAGCATCCCCTGGGCCCAGCAGGGCGCAGGACAGAAAAATCCCCTCCACCCCTCCCTGGTGATCACCTGCACGCACCTGAGGGCGCGTCGGAGCCGCCCTGGGGTCTTCGCGGGCTGCCGCCGGCACCTGAGATAAACAGGCGGGTCAAGGTCAGAAGTCTGGGTGAGCCCACCTCACCCTTCAGGCGGCCCTGCTCCCACACTCACCTTGGCTTTTTTTCCAGACTGCGGCGCTGGAGGCGGGCGGCCCGGGCGCCGCGGCCAGGAAGGGGCGCAGGCGTGGGGGACTTAGGCCAAAGGGCGCGGGGTTCAAGTAGGGCAGAAAGGGCCCGGTGGGGGCAGGGGCGGGGGTCGTGAAGGGCTCGAGCAGCGGGAACGGCAGGCCCGGCGCCGACACAATGTCGGACTCCGGGGGACGCTCGGGCGCGGGTGGCTCCTTGTCTAGGGCTGGGGGTGGCGGCGCGGCTGGGCTCTGCGCATGCTCGGCGCAAACATGCAGATGCTTGAAGAGCGAGCGGTGCGTGCGGAAGCGCAGGAGGCAGTTCTCACACCTGGGGGCAGGCACAGGGCTGGGCTGGGTCTCTTGGGGGACGAGGGTAGGGCCTATCCGATGCTACCTGGGGAGGCGCGGCGCGAGGGCGGTAAGTAAGGGAGCCTAAGGCCCAAATCACAGATTCCCCACTGGCGGCGGGGGGTAAGCTTGCCCTGAGCGCCCCCAAATGTGGCCGCGACCCTCCCGGACCCCTCCGGGTCCTTGCCCTGGGAAAACGAGGAAGGAAGTCTCAATTTTGACTTAGACGGCCAGTTTTCTTCTAGGGAGGTCAGGAGGAACTGGGCGGAGACGCACGACGTATGCCCCGCCCTTTCCGAGCTCCGCCCTCCGGGTCTCTGAGACTCGTTCCAGTAACCAGTCTCTCTTTTTGGGCAGGTAAGGGCAGGGCTTGCCCGAGGCCACGCCCACTGCCAGACTCGCCACCTCCCCCCCGACCCCGCGCCCCACCCCCCCAGGAAGGACCCCAGGTAGTGGCAATCAAATCAGGGGTGGGAGGAGCTGCCAGAGGCCTGATCACGGAGCACCAGTGGAAGTCAGGAGAGTAAGGGTCTCACTTGAAGTAGCGGTTGGGTTTGTAGTGCAGCTTGCCATGTGCCACCAGTTCCTGCATGCTGGGGAAGGTCTCGGTGCAGCTCAGGGCGGAACAGCGGAAGAGCTTGCCTGGCAGGGCAGGGATGAAGGACAGAGTGGAGAGGGGTGGCCAAGGCCGGCCTGGAGGCTCTGCCTGCCTCCCACCCCAAACTGCCTCCGCACCACCTACTCTGGCCCTACCTTCCAGGGACTGTGTGGGTGGGCAGTGGGTACGCAGATGCTGTGCCAGATCACGAACACTGGGGAAACTGAGACAGCAGCCAGGGCTGGAGCAGGGTATCTGCTTCCCTGCAGGATGCACAGAAAGGAGGGTGTCACCCACTCTTCCCCCGTCCACGCTGTCCAGAGTTCTGCCCCAGAGAGGCATATGAGGCTGGAATTACCCTGCTGGTTTCTTACCAGGGCCTTTACCATCTTCTTCCCCCACCAGACAGAGCTGCCAGAGGACAGGGGCTGGCTTGGCTGGCTCACATCACTGTAGCCACAGCCTGGCATACACTTGGTGCTCAGTAAATGGTGATTCCCTCTTGATGGGGCCCAAGTTTGGAGAGACTCTGTACTCCTCTCAATTGTTCCAAGGCCTGTGACCACCCCCAGAAGGCTCCATCACATATCACCTGGTTGTTGGCGTCGTCTGGGAGGCCTCAGGTCCTCGCTGGTCCCAGAGACTGTGCTGGTGGGGCCAAGGCTGGATCCGGGACCAGGCTGAACACTGTCTGGGGCAGAGGGGGCACCCTGCTGGGTCCCTCCAGGCCCTCCTCGGTCCCACGCTGGGGGTGTGGCTGCCCGTTCAGGGCCTGGCTCCTCCCCCATGGAAGAGGAGGTGGCTGCTGCGGCCACAACTGGGGACAACACTTCCTTGTCAGTCTCATTGAAGCTGGGCTCTGCAGCGGCCGGCATGTCCGGGCTGGGCCCCGAGGGTTCCTCCTCCTAGTGGAAGGAAAAGGCAGGGAGAACCCCTCTGGGCCCAGGTCGGCCTGGGCCAGCCAGGGGAACCCCTCCCACCCCGCCAAGACCTTTGGACATTCCTGAAGCAGCGAATGCCTTTGAGAAATCACCTGGTCAGCCCCCATCCTAAGGAGTCACCATCAGGGGAGGGCAGGGGATAAGGGTGGATTGAGCCTCCTGTGTTCCAATCTCTGGGAGGGAGCTGGGAGGTGTCCCAATTGCAGAAGGGGGTATCTGTCAGGAATTACTATGAAAGTAGCAGTCCTTCGTCCCTAACTTGGGACAGGGGGACGCCCCTTACACGGCAGGGACGTGGCCTACGGGGTGTGGGCGGGACGAAGGTTACAAAGACGGGGCTCCGAACAGGGCGCCGCTGGGAACATGCTGGAGGGGCCAGAGGGATCAAGTGGACTGTTTGCGGACGGAAATACATACACCGGCCCGGCTCGAGCTGTGCAGTCGAACCCGGAGGGGGCTAGGGGCCCCGATGTGTAAGGAACAGGGGCGGAGCTCGAGTCCTGTAGGCGTGGCCCAGTCGAAGCCGGGCCAGGAAGCCGGGGGTGGGGTGTTCCCCAAGTGACAGCCAGCGACGGGAGAGTGCCCGGATGTGGGGGCGGGGTCGGCCGGAGGGTGCGCGTGCGACAGGGCCGCGCCCCGCCAGTACCCGCTGCTTCGCCGCGCCCGCATCCCCGACGCCGCGCTCACCATCCTCGACTCGGCTCAGCCTCTTATTCCTGTGGCTCCGGCGGCTCCGGCTGAGACTGCGGCGACTCCCTGGGCGGCCGCGGGCTCGCGCTCACGTCGACGCCATTTTCCGCCTCCCAGATCTCGCGAGAGCGGGGGCAGGGCCTGCGCACAGCGCCCCTCGAGGGGGTGGGGCCTGAGATCTGGGTCCTCCAGGAGGCGAGCTCGGTAGGCGGTGCTGCGGGTTTGCAAGCCCAGACCTATCAAAGAGTGCACCTTTAAAGACCTTGTGCTCAGAGATCCTGGCGAAAAATCCTTCGGGGCCTCTGTTCTCGTCTGCTAAATGGGTATCTTTATCCCCTCCCGTCCCATCACCAGCTCTCAGCCGCTCTCCTTTTTGAAGAGGTGATGTTGTTTGGGCCGCCTTTTTGGAGAGAAATTGGCAGTGATCGTCAGCATTGTCAATGCACGGAGTTCTGAAGTTCTAATAGGCTCCTTGTGATAGCCAGGGGCAGGAAGCAAGCTGTCTGTCCTCCGGACAGGTGTAGCCTAAGGATGGAGACCCCTGGGTGGGCCGGCGTGGAATAAGGCACCTATCCATCCTACATTCCTTGAGCGCCTACTGTGTGCGAGGCGTTGGGGACCCAGAGGGGAACAGGACAAACATCCTTGCCCTCAGGGGCCTGCTCACATTTTAAAATGGGGAAACAGACAATGAGTCAACAAATGCAGAAAACCACCTTAGGGATATTAAGTGCTACAAAGGAAAACGCACACAGAAGGGAGAGAAGTCTCTCTTGAGTTGACTTTTGAGCTGTTACCTGATGGTCAGGAAGGAGTGAGCAAATGGAAGGTCAGGGGACTCTGGGAAGTGGATAGCTGTGCAAATGTCCTGAGGTGGGGAGGGACAAGCTTCTCAAGGACCAGTAAGGAGATCAGCTCACTGCTGGAACAGAGTGGAGGCAGAGTGTGGAGGTCAGTAAGTGAACTTGGTGCAGGGAAGGTCACACAGGACCTCATGAACCATAGAGAGGAGTGCGGTTTCTGTTCTCATCATTGATGTATTTTTAGCAGGGGTAGGTCCACCATCTGATTCTTGGGTGTTGTTTGGAGGATGGGCAGTTGGGGGGATGGTAAAGTGGATCTTTGATCTCAGGTCTCTATAATACATCATTTAACATTCAAGAGGTGTCTGTTGAGTTCTGAGCAAGTATAGACTTTATGTGCAGCGTATTTTCATCTGTGTACATAAGATGTACCTATGTGCCTTTATATGTGGAGAATATCATTAGAAGGAGACATTAAAAAAGTGGGGAGGGGAACAGAGATTTTCAAGTGAGGGAGAGACTGTCTTTTCATACTTTGTGCTGTTTGAATTTAAAAAAATGTGGTTTTGATTATCATTAATACAGTTAAAAACTCTTTAATCTAAAAAAAAAAACCGGATCGTTTGATGCAGGGTGGAGGTGTGTTTGTGTGTGGAGGGGAGGTTGGTGCAATCTGGGGAAGGGTGGGGTGAGGCCTCAGAAGGACATGGACCCAAGGAAGGGAGAGGAGGGGCCAGGCTTAAGAAATTCTATAAGTCAACAGGATGTGGGGCTGTGGAGTGGGCAGGGCCAAGGTGATTCTGAGGTTTGCAGTCTGAAGATGCTGTAACCTAGATGTGAGGCCCAGAAAGCCCTACTTCCTGTAAATGGGGTGACCGCCATGGCAGTGGGGCCCTGGAATTGTACCCCAAAATGTCAGGGGGCAGGCAGCCTGCATGGTGAGTTCAAGGAGAGAGGAAGGAGGTGGAAGCCCCAATTCCTCTTCGGCACCAGGAAATGCCCAGTTGATGAGGTTGGTGGCTCATGCACTTCCTCCTCAGCCTGTCCTAATGTCTAAGTGTTGCAGAGAGAGACATGCACAGTGGTGGTTGGGCAGCGGAGGAGCGAAAATCAGAGATGGAGGAAACCAGGGACATTCAGGGGACTGGTTAAATGCTTTTGTGTAATGATTGGCTAATAAAAGGGTTGCTGAGACCCAGTTGTGACCTTGGGATTTTTTTTCAGCCACGCTCAGTTTCCCAAAGCAGGGACAGAAGAGAGAGGTTCAGGTCCTGCAGAAGGTGCTGCTGGCCAGTCTTTCTCTGATACCTCCTCTCCCATCCTCCAGTTGGGTAGGGGTCCTCTGCCTGGAGTTCTCCTGTCACAGCGCAGATCGCTGTATGTGGTGTCTGCCGGTCAAGATCTGCTGACCCCAAACCCTTTTCTTCCTTCTTGGCTCCTCCAGCAATGCCCACTCTCTCTCTGCATCCCCTTCCCCTGCCCCAGCCCCTGTCTCTTCTCTGGCCCAGTCCTGACCACCACCAATTTGGCTGTGTCTCTCCCAGACTGGCTGCCCTTTGAGGGTCTGAGCCCAGAGTGGGTGTCTGTTTGGGAAGTCGGGATACTTAGGCTCAGACCATGGTGGGATCCCCAGCAGTTCCACCTGCATCTGCAGGGAGTTCTGAAAAGCTCAGGCTCCATCACTGGCTTGGAAAGATCTGGGGAGTCCAGTGGCCAGGCTGACCCCCTAAATCCATGACAATAGGTGCAGAAAGCCAGGGCCCTTGCATATCAGAACTGGTTCTGACTCCAGGTGAGTGAGGGCTAAGAAAGCACAGACATGGGGGTGGTGGTGTGGGGGCCAGGGGTGGCCCAGGCTGGATCGTGAAGGACCGTGTGGGACCTGCCTCCTTCCTCAGGGTCCAGTCAGGTCCTGGATGGGTTTGGGGGCTGCAGATTCAAAGATGACAGGACCCACCAGACTATTTTCTGCAGGAAGGCCAGGATGCAAATGGCCAAGAGTGGGTGAGCGGGCAAGTGGGACAAACACCAGCTTTGGGAGATGTGGGGTGGGCGTATATATGAGTTCAAGGCTTGGCTCTGTGGGATCTTGGGCAAGTGACAAAACTTCTCCCGGCCCCCAGTTTTGCACCTGTAATGGGGTATTTGCGGCTTTTCCCTCAGCGTCTGGTTAGCGCTCAGTAAATTTAATTCATACTTTCACCTGGCAAATGTTTATTGCCTCAGTGATGACAGAAGAAGGGGAGTCTCACTTGTCAAGGTGTCCCCAACTGTGCTTGGCACTTTGCCGACAGGACACAACGCATATATACTCACAAGGCAGCTGGGAGGTAGATTCTGCTATTAGCCCTGTTTGACACAGGAGGCGTGTGACATGGGGGATGCCAGGGCCCTGGGGTGGCTGCAGTGGTGACCCCCAGACCTAGACCCAGGGCCTGGGCTGGGCTGGGCTGGGCTGGAGGCCCCAGGACTGGACCTTCTGGCTAATGTGGCCAAGGAAAACCAGGCCCTCGCCAGCAGGGCCTGGCTCCCTGGCAGGCAGGCAGGCGGGCAGGAGGCCGAATCCGGGCCCCCTCTCAGATCTTCTCCACGTAGTTTCCTGGGAAGAGGCCCTCCTGGCCGTGCAGCCGGCCTTTCCACCAGCCTGAGGAATCTGTGGGCAAGAGGGGAGCGTGAGGCAGTGTGCGGCCCACCCAGGAGGAAGCCTTCGTGGGGCTCCCTGCCTGTTTTATTCATCACCACTGGTGTGGCAGAAGGCAGATGCTGAAAAGAGAACTGTCATCAGGTGGAAGGAGGGATGGATGGACGAACTCATGGTTTTTCCTGCCACTGCCTCACACTCTGTCATGTTCTAAACCGTTCTCTCGTGCTCGTCCCTCATCTCTTCCTACAGGTGCCTCCCCTCACTCCACATGAGGGACCAGTGAATGACCCCTTTGGGACTCCCCACTTACTCGCAGAGGGTGCTGCTGAGTCCCAAGCCCTTCTGGGAGGGGCGGGCAGCCCAGGGGGCTAAGGTAGGAAGGTGGCCTGGGCCATCCAGACATGACCGACCCATTTTTACTCACAAGGGGTCGCTTTGAGGTGGGTTCTGCTATTAGCCCTGGGCTTCACGGGAGAGAAAAATGAGGCCCAGGGGATTGGGCATGCTGCTGTGAGGCCAGGCCCCCAGAGAGCCTTAGGAGGGAACCTCCAGATCTGAGGACTTCTAGCTTATGCAGCCACTGGCCCGGAAGAGAGTATCTCTGGTGGGGGCTGGTTGCTTCTGTTCTCTTCCGGAAAGGTGTGCAGGAATGGGGGGTTGCCAAGCAGGGTCTGACTCCTCCCCGCTCTGCCCTGAGACACACACCTTCCATGAGGATCTCGATGACCTCGTTCACGTTGAAGCTCAGCTCGTCCACATCTTGGCCCACATACTGGTACAGTGCCCGGCACCGCGGGCCATGCATCCGAGGCTGGGGCTTGGGTCGGCCCACGCCCGGCACAGGTCGCTGCCCCACACTGCGCTTCCTCTGCATGCTGTGGGTACAGGGAGCGCTCGTCAAGGCCCAGACACTCCCCTGCCCCCTGTCCACCTCCTGGGGCTGCCCTCTTTCATCACTTACCCTGCTACACCCTGGTCAGGTACGTTAAGGAATTCTGTGTTGTGCTCCGAGGGGGGCCGTGCCCGGGGGCGCCTGCTGACCCTCAGGGCTGAGGATGGAGGGCCCCGGAGAGGCTGCTGGGAGCCCCCTCCAGATGTGATCTCCAGGGGCAGGGGCCCCCTTCTGGCAGAAGGAGGCACTCCATTGTGGTCCAGGCCTGTGGCAGGAGCAAGAGTTGGGTCATTTATCAGGGTGATGGTAGGAGGATTTGGGGAGGACTTAGCTCCAAGATCCCAGTGTGAGGGGGGAGGCAGCTAGTCACATGCTCAACCCAGCATGGTAAGGACTGGCCCAGAGGGAGTCTCTGCAGGGTAAGATCTCCCCTATCCTCTTCTGTAGGAGGGCTTTTGTTGGTGGGTCTTGGAGGATGAATAGGAGCTCAAGCCAAGTGGGAATTTGGGAGACAAGAGGAGCAAACAGCCTAAGGAAAGGCTTGGGGATAAGAACAAATTTGTTAAATTGGCAAAATAAGATGTAGCTTGTGTGACAGGAGTATAAGATGGGAGGAGAGAAGAGGTTGGTGGTTAGCTGGGTTTGGCTTCTGAAGGGCTTTGAATATCAGACTAAGCTTAGTCTGTATTCTGTGGAAGAGGGGGAGCTGTGTAGAGTTCTATCTGTTGACAGCAGGCATGGCTTGGGTCATGGAGCACACAAGAGGCAAGGGAAGACACATCCTCCTCACCTCTGGGAGGCGCAGGGGCTGCCCGGATAGGGGCCTGGGCTGGCCTTCGAGGTTTTCCCTGGGCCATTCCCTTCCGTGTAGGCTCTGAAAGGGGAAAAGAAATGGGAATTTGAGTGGTGACCAGACCACAACAGGCTCTTGGGCCCGCCCACAAGTCCAGGCCACTCTGTGGCCCCGCGCCAGACTCCGCCCCCTGGCTCCCTGGCTGTCCCATCGGCACCGCCCCGTAGTTACTGGAACAGTGGCTCTGCCCAGTAACTGGCCCAGCCCCCCAGGGCCCACCTCTCATTGGCGCGGCTCTCTAGGCCCGCCCACCACTGGGGGGCGTTATGTCCCTGGTCACGCCCCCTCCACATTTCTCTCCCATTCATTGGTTACCTTGCTGACCCTGCCTTCTCCGTGACAGCGACCTTGCCATTACATCTCTCTCGACCCACCCCTCCACGGCCCTAACCCGCTCCGGGCCAGCCTCACTGGCTCCGCCCCCACAGCCTTGGTTAGTACCCCCTCGTTGGCCCCGCCTCCATAGGACCCGCCTCTTTGGCTCCGCCCCCAGCTCTGCGCAGACTCACTGGAGCTTTTGGGCAGCCCGTCGCCCACGCTGACTGTGAGGGTCCGGCCGCTAGCCTTGAGCACGGCCACCTCGCCGGAGCCACGGGAGAAAGTGACGCTGCGGGTGCCACCTCCGCCCCAGCCCTCCTTCTTCACTCGGAACTGTAGTCTGTGGGGAGAGGAGGAAGCTGCGGGGACGCCCACTCCCCAAGCGGGCCGGGGCCGCGGGGCGGGAGAGGGGGAGCTGTGCCCAGCCCAGCCCGAGGACGGTGGCGGGGGGGGGGGGCGTACGTGTCGCTGAAGGTGAGGGGCAGGGCCCTCCGCGCCGCCTCCTCGAAGCGCTTGCTCAGGAGGCTGACGAACTCGGTCTTGAAGATGCTCTCCAGGAAGCTGTCGGCGGCGTCTTCTTGGAGGATGAAGAAGTCGTCCTGCCTTGTGCTGGGGGAGGGGTAGGAGGAAAGGCAGGTGAGGGTGGCAGGACTGACATGTGAGATGCGACGGGGAGGGTCGGGTGAAGGGAAGTGAGGGGTGATGCGAGAGGGGGCAAGGAGCTGGGGAAGGTGGTCATAGGGAAGCGTCAGGTGAGGGAACAGGTGCTCTTGGCACATAACGATCATGAGTGTGGGGGAAGGGGAAGGTGACACGGAGGGCCAAGAGAGGGTTACAGGTATAGCGTAGGTTAGAGGATCAGAGTGACAGATGGGGTGAGCAGTGCGAGGGTAGCTGAGGATGACAGGAGGGCAGATGAGGGGGCGGGGGCAGGGGAGGGCCTGGCCTCACCTAAGGGAAACTCCTCGGAGGGCCTGGATCTCCAGCTTCTTCTTCAGGACCTCACGCACCTGGCCCTTCTCTGGTCCCTTCTTCACCTTCTCCCGTCCGATTATATACACACACTTGGGCGTCAGGATCAAGTCCCTTTTGATGGGCTGTGAGGATGCAGGAGTAGAGCTGGTGGCTGGAGCCCTGGGCATGGGCCACCTGGCTCCACGAGATCAACCTCAGACAGGGGAGTGGTGCTGGCAGGTGAAGGACAGGTCAGCTGAGTGTTTCCCTCCATGTGAAGGTATATGAGGAGTTACATTATATAAGAAATAGGAGGTTGAGTAAGGGTATATTGGCTAGAGAGGGGTTTCTGGGCCAGTGAACAGGTACAGGAGAGGTGGAGGTATACCTGCTGGACGTGGGTGCCCAGGCCAGATGAGAGTGTACATGTGCACAGGTGTGTCTGGGCCAGATGAAGATACAGACGTATTGACAGATCTATCTAGACTGGCTGAGGGTATACCTAATGGATAGGTGTGTCCAGGGTAAGTGGGGGTGGCCCTATGGTCAGGGCTTCTGGGTGAGGGAAGTGTGTAATTGTGGAAAGCTCTGTCTGGCCAGATGAAGATGTATGTGATGGACAGGTATGTCTGGGCTACATGAGGGCATATTTAATAGCCAGATGTATCTACACTAGTTGAGTGTACAGTTGTGTCTGGCTCAGTGGAGGGTGTACCTGTGATGGGGCAGGTGTATCTAGGCTAGGTGAATATATACCTGTGGACAGGTGTATCTGGGCCAGGTGAGGGTGTACCTCTGGTGGGGGTGCCAGGCTGGGGCCAGGATCCCGGACGTGCCCACCTGCTAGCACCTCACCTTGAAGCGGCGGTCGTACTTGATGACCGCGTCAGCGAAGTCCACGCGTTCCCTCTTGCCCAGGAACTGGCGCAGCTCCGGCCGCTCCTCTAGCCCCAGGTAGTCCCCGACGAAGTTCCGATTGATACTGTTCCGTCTCCGCTCCTTCTTGTTCAGCAGGATGTTGGAAGCTGTGGGGACACCGGGTCGGGGGGAGAGGTTGTGGCCTGGCTCTTCCAAGTCCATCTGTCCCCACCCTGAGCCTCCCATCTGCAGCCTCTCACCTTCCTCCCGCATCTCCTCGTACTTCCGGACTGCCACATGGCGCCTCCAGGCCTTCTGGATGGTGCGGGCAAAGCCATCGAACTTGCGCTCCCGCATCTCCTCCAGAAGAAAGAGCTAGGCGAGAGGGAGGGGTGGTGGGTCTTTCTCTGATCCCACCCCACCCACTTGCTCTTGCTTACAGGCACCTGCACACATGCTCATACACTATGGTCAAAAAAATTTTTTTTTCTTCCTCCAAATGACTGGACCCAGGCTTCCCTCCCCATATGGGGCACAAATCCCTGCATTACATGAAACTGTGGGTTGGTCTTGCAGGGTTCGAATCCCAGCTCTCCCTTTTCTAGCTGTGTCGTCTTTGCCAAAAATGGTGTAACATCACAGTTTCTCACACTGCTAGTTAAGTTATGGCATGTCACCCACGTGAGGTGCACCCCAATTTCAGAGATGTTAGAAATGTGAACCAGTGTGCATCTTAGAAAACCAACAAAATACTGTAAATGTGAAAACCCGGTGTATAGGACTGTGATGTACCTGGAGACCAGGTAGTTGTATAGTGTGCAACCTGCCCAGCCATACATGCCAGCCCTGGAAGAGAAGTTTTTGCAGAGAGCAGACTTTTTGAGTTTTAAGAGTCTCAGTCCAGAGGAGACTTAAGGTATAAACTATATTAGAGCAAGTCAGAGTTGAAATGCCATGAAGGATGTCCCTTCACTTAGAATAATAACAGTGAACATATCAAGGAGAGGAGCCCACTGGATATGAAAGTTATAAATCTCAGTAATAAGAACAAGGGGGTGCTGATCGAAGAATAGAATAACCTAGTGGGATAGGACAGATGACTGGGGAACGTAATTCAAACAAATTTATTTATTTGAAGATTTCATTTATTTATTTAACAGAGAGACAGCAAGAAAGGGAACACAATCAGGGGGAGTAGGAGAGGGAAGAAGCAGGCTCTCCGCTGAGCAGGGAGCCCGATGCGGGGCTCGATCCCAGGACCCCAGGATCATGACCTGAGCTGAAGGCAGATGCTTAACGACTGAGCCACCCAGGCGCCCCTAATTCAAACAAATTTAGCGATAAAAGGGACAGCATTGTCAATCAGGGAAATACTGAAATGGGAAATACTGTAAATGGGGCTTTATTTAGAAAAATAATTAGCACTTCACCCAGAGGGATTTGTCAAATACACAAATATTACATCACTGCCAAAAGGCTGGCTGCCTGCTTTGCTGAGCAAGGTGGTTGATGTTTCCCAGAAACCCCAGGGTTCGCCGCAGGGACCGAAGTAAGTCTGTAGATACTTGGCTCAAATGCACTTTAAAAAAATATATCTTGGAGGGGGTACCTGGGTGACTCGGTTGAGCGTCCGACTTTTGATCTCAGGGTCGTGAGATCGAGCCCCAATGGGGCTCCGTTCTTAGGGGGGAGTCTGCTTCTCTCTCTCCCTCTCCTTCCGCCCCTCCTCCCCGCTCATTCTCTCTAAAATAAATAAATCTTTATATATCTTTGAGAACTTTTAAAGCTGTGGGTGTTTATAAGTGTTCATGAAAGGTGGGGATCTTTTCACCAGGAAGGAATCCTAACCCCACCAAGGCTATAGTTTCACAGGCTGCAGGGAATTGAGTGGAGTTTCCATATTCCTTTGTTTCTCAGACCGATATTATATGGGTCAGTGGGTCTGTGTGCAAAGCATGCCCAAGTAATGCCTTGTATGGGGTGTCTGGACGGCACGGAAGTACGTTCTGCAGTTTGCTAAGAGGACACCAGGTATGAATAAAGAACTTGCAGAACTGGGGGTGGGTCAGTCAACCAGGAGTCCTCTCTGCCTTAGCTGTTTAGGGCAGATGGGACGAGTGTCCTGCAACCTCGTTATTTCTGCTCAGGGAAGGGAATTCGTTTTCAATTTGGGAAAGGAATCTTCCTGTCTACAGAGTTTAAAATTCGTCTCCTTCGGGGTGCCTGGGTGGCTCAGTTGGTTAAACAACTGACTTCGGCTCAGGTCATGATTCTGAGGTCCTGGGATCGAGCCTCATGTTGGGTTCCCTGCTCAGTGGGGAGTCTGCTTGTCCCTCTGCCTGCCCCTCCCCCTGCTTGTGCATGCGCGTGCGCACGCTCTCTCGTTCAAATAAATAAATAAATAAATAAATAAATAAATAAATAAATAAAATCTTTAAGAAAATAAAATAAAATTCATCTCCTTCAGGGCACCTGGGTGGCTCAGTTAAGCGTTTACCTTTATTTATTTATTTATTTATTTATTAAATATTTTATTTATTTATTTCAGAGAGAGAGAGAGAATGAGAGATAGAAAGCACGAGAGGGAAGAGGGTCAGAGGGAGAAGCAGACTCCCCGCTGAGCAGGAAGCCTGATGTGGGACTCGATTCCAGGACTCTAGGACCATGACCTGAGCCGAAGGCAGTCGCTTAACCAACTGAGCCACCCAGGCGCCCAAACGTCTACCTTTAGCTCAGGTCGTGATCCTAGGGGCCTGGGATGGAGCCCCGGGTCGGGCTCCCAGCTCAGCAGGGAGAGTCTGCTTGTCTCTCTCGCTTTGCCCCTCTTCCCACTTGTGTTCTCTCTCTCTAATAAATAAAATAAAATAAAATTCATCTCCTTCATGTGCAGAGGGCAGAGCTGCATGTGCTTGAGGTGGGTAGATAGGCCCTAAATCCGAGCTTATCCCAGTGTACTGGCTTGAATAGTGTCCCCCCCCCCCAGTTCATGTCCACCGGAACCTGTGAATGTGACCTTCCCTGGAGAGAGGGTCTTTGCAGATGTAATCAAGTTAAAATGAGGTCATACTGGAGTAGGGTGGGCCCTCAATCCAATATGACTGGTGTCCTTCTAAGAAGAGGGACATTTGGACCCAGACACAGAGGAGAAGGCCTTGTGATGACAGAGGCAGAGACTGGGGTGATCAGGAGTAGCAAGGATGGCTAGCGATCACCAGACATTAGGGAGAATCAAGGAAGGATCTTCCCTGGAGCCTTTAGAGGGAGCGTGGCCATGCTGACACCTCATTTTGGATTTCTAGCCTTCAGAAACATGGGAAAATTAATTTCTGTTGACTTAAGCCATCCAGTTTGTGGTATTTTGTTAGAGCTGCCCGGCATGACAGGCAGTGAAGGCCAGCAGGTATGTAAAACACTGAGGATATTTTGAGTCCATGTTACAAGGCACAGAATCCAAGTCAGAATCATCCCAGCGTAAGTGCATTTATGGTTGAGAAAGTCCCCAACTCCATTAGTTCTTTGCTCAATTTTGATACAGCGCAGTTACAAACAGTCATAAAACTGTTCCCATGTTTCTTCTGTTTTCATTTTACTAAAATGATTCTCATCAGGATCAGTTTTGTCCTGTGCGAATTTTCAGTCTTTCTTTTTTCCTTACAGAATGTTTCCACGAAATGTTTCCCTTTGTGAATTTCATTATTTCGAGCCAGTTCATCTTCCCCACCTCAAAATGTGCAGACTGCATTTTTTTGTCAGAATTTGATTGTACCTTACATAGTCTTAGCCAGTGCTAGCTTTGTTTGTCTATTTTTTTTCAGTGTCAATTTTTAAAATTAAAAAAAAGATTTATTTATTTGAGAGAGAGAGAGACAGAGCGGTGGGGGGAGGGGCAGAAGGGAGAGGAAGAAATAGTCTTCAGCAGACTCCGTGCTGAGTGTAGAGCCCGACACGGGGGTCCATCTCACGACCCTGAGATCATGACCTAAGCCAAAACTAAGATTTGGATGCTTAACCGACTCACCACCCAGGTGCCCCTAAGACTGTTCTTATTTCTTGGGGCAAATGCATCTATAGGGAGAAGTCTAGATGTAGGTACAGACAAGTTTGGGGGGACCAAGAGCCCAAACTCCCAGGACAATTTTCTTCTTTCTCTCCTTTCCTTTCCTTCCCCCATCCTTCCTCCCTCCCTCCCTTCCTCTCTCTTTCTCTTTCTTTCCTCTATGCCCAATGTGGGGTTTGAACACATGATCCCAGATTAAGAGTTGCATGCTCTACTAACTGAGCCAACCAGGAGCCCGACGGACTATTTTTGTAGCCATAAAATCTCCAGAATCTTCACCCCAGTGTTATGTGTTTGGTTTGATGAGAGAACAGTTACTTGTAAGTTACAGTAACATCAAGGGAATCATCTGGACAATTTCCCAGTTGTCTTCAAGTCCCTAAGGTGCTAGCAGAGCAGGTGCTATGATCATGCAGGTGGTGAGGCACCTAGCGAGCCCTGAGCAGGCAGCAGCCCTTCCCCAGTGCTGGAGCGCGGCCCGGGCTGGGGGACATAAGACTAGCGTGGGACTGTGGTGAGCTAGCACAGTTCATCCGGACGGCCGGCTCATGGTTTGCTGTCCAACCCTTGCATAGAAGCAGGTGGCCAGGCAGGCCCCCAAGGGGATTCCTTGCCCTGCCTTTTTATTTATTTATTTATTTATTTTTTAAGATTTTATTTTTCAGGGGCACCTGGGTGGCTCAGTCGTTAAGCGCCTGCCTTCAGCTCGGGTCACGATCCCAGGGTCCTGGGATCGAGCCCCGCATCGGGCTCCCTGCTTGGCGGGAAGCCTGCTTCTCCCTCTCCCACTCCCCCTGCTTGTGTTCCCTCTCTCGCTGTGTCTCTCTCTGTCAAATAAATAAATAAAAATCTTTAAAAAAAAAAAGATTTTATTTTTCAGTAATCTCTACACTCAACGTGGGGGCTCAAACGTCCAACCTGGAGACCAAGGGTTGTGTGCTCTGTGGACAGCCAGCCGGACGCTCCCTCCCCGCTTGGCCCTGCTTTTATGTTCTCTTTGTCATTGTTGCTTTTTGAAAAACTACCCCCACCCGGGTTTATTGAGATATAACTGACATATAGCATTGTGTAAATTTAAGGTGCACATGAGCTGATGCAACGTATGTATATATTGCAGAACTGTTAGCTAGCGCCGACAGTTACCATTTCTTTTTTGTGGTGAGAACATGGGAGATCTACTCTCAGCAAATTCCAAGTATACAACACAGCATTGTTAACGGTAGTCGCCATGCTTACAGTAGGTCCCCAGAACAGATCTGTCATTGTGGCTTCGTTTTTTCCATGCAAGCAGAGGCAGCATGGAGCTGGTGGTGCTCCCAGCTTTCGCTAAAAGGCTAAGAGCTGATGATGACGTGCTGGAGGGATCATTTGTGCATGGAGGATGCGGAATGACGTTTGTCTGTGGTAGATCAGGACCCGGGGGCAGGTCTTGGGATCAACCAACCACCACTTGGATGTGAGTCTCAGGCCCAGGGACTCAGTGTGTTCGTGAAGGAAGGACGGAGGGAAGATGTAAGAAAATGTAAGAAAGGAGAAAGCGCAGAAGGAAGTTAGTTTCTCCACCTGCCGCCTGGCCGCCAGGGACTATCCGGCTAATTCAGGTTTTTCTGAGCACTTGCTCTCACTGCGTAGCGGACTTCCTGTTTTGTCTGAGCCTCACCCCAATCCTGCAGGGGGGCTACCACTCTCCCCACTTTCCAAGAGGAGAAACGGAGGCTCCGAGGGGGTAAGGCAACATGCCTGAGGCCTAAAGTGGTCTGAAGAGCAGGACCTGCGCCTGTGTGGTGATGCAGGTGTCTGCCTCTCTCTCACACTCACCGACTCAGGGTTCTTGACAAAGACCTTGGTGCTCCCCATCTGGTACTGGTCTGGCTCCATATTGACCGCCCGGAGCAGGTGCTGGACCCCCTGACGTTCATCCCCACGCCACTGGGGCCACGTCTCAGGGGTCAGAATGGCGTACCTGGAGGCAGAGGGCGTGGGAGGCTTTGGGGTCCATGCTGGCTTTTCCTCTGCTGGGTGGGTGGGGAGGGCCGGGGGCAGGCAGGGGTGCCTCACCTCTGTAGGAACTTGGAGAACTGGCGGCGGTAGGCGAAGCCAGCCCGGCGCACCCTGATGTTCTCCTTCAGGCCCAGGTACTCCACCTGGTGCTTGACCCTAAGGGGGAAGGCACTCTGAGTCCCCTGGGGGATACTTCCTGGTCCTGGGCGTGAGTGGGTGCTGCTGAGCAGGGCTGGAGAGGGCAGATGTGAGACCAGGGGGGTCTGGATTCATGCTGGGGGCAGTTTGGGGGGGTGACTTCAGTGTCTGGGAGTCAGTTCTGTGGGGTGGGGACCTAGCTTCTGGGGGAGGGGTCTGTGTGAGTTCTGTGGCCAGTCCCAGGGTTAATTCTAGGGGTGTGTCCTAGGGTCTGGGGACAGAGGGGACTGTGCTAATTCTTGGGTCACCCTACGCTCAGTTCCGCTCATCCCTGCAGTCGGAGGGTCTTGGTCGGTGCTAGGTAGAACCCCAGGACACTGAGAAGTTTTGTGCTGGTCCTAGGGGTCATCCTTGGTTAGTCTTGGGATGGGTCCCATGACTCTGGGTGGGCTCTCAAGGGAGGGTCAGTCTGGGGGGACAGGCTGTGTGCATTGGTCCAGCTGGTAGTCACCTGCTCTCCTCCCAGTCACGGGGCTTCTTGGTCTCGTTGGGTTTGATGCAGCGGATATAGTGGGGCGTACATCTCTTCAGTGTGGCCACCAGGTCATTGGCTTGTTTCTGAGGTGGGGGAGAAGGCAGGGGTGGTGCACAGATGGGACCCTTGGACCCTCTCTCCTCCCACCTTGGATACAGGCTCAGGAGACAGAGACACACTGAGTGCCGGGCTGACTCCAGTGAGCCAAGGGGTCGGGTGTCCCTGGTCTGTGCATTCTTCCATTAGCACACACCATGGGGCTTGATAATGTGTGTGTACCTGATCCTTGAACCTCAGACTAGGAGCTCTCCTGTCTGCAACACTCACTGCTTAATCTGGCGCATAGTAAGTGCTCAGCAAATGTTTGTTGGTGGAGTAACTGAGCACTCAAGACAACATGTTGCATAGAACATTTCTGCCTGTCCTTCGAGGGGGACCACTGCTTTGGGAGTAGGGAATCATGTGTGTGTCCCTTGGGTTGTACATTTTAGTCCCTTGGAGGAGACTAGAAAGGACATTGTTCCAGGTGGGGGGATTGGAGAGAGGGGCACGAGAGACCTCGATGTGGAGTGTGCTCTGCTGTGTGGTCCGGGCCAGTGACTGCTGTTGTGAGCCTTGGTCTCCCCATCCACCTGGTGGGACTAGTCCCATACGTGTAAAGTGTCCCATGTTTGCAGCCAGCCCTGGCAAGGGCTCAATGCGTGGTTATGAAGAGGTTTTTTTAGAATGGGACACCCAGTTGATAGCAGCACTATTCATAATAGGTTAAAGGTAAAAACAACCTAAGTGTCCATCCACAGAGGAATGGATAGGAAAATGTGGTCCATTCATACGCTGGGAGATTTTTCAGTCTTAAAAAGGAAGGACATCCTGACACCGGCTACAACATGGATAACTTTGAGGGCATTATGCTGAGTGAGGTAAGCCAGTCACAGAAGGACACATCCCGCAGGACCCCAGTCCCAGGAGGTCCCCAGAGGAGTCCCGCCCACGGAGACAGAGAGGAGAGGGTGTGAGCCGGGGCTGGGGCAGGGGGTGGGGAGTCCGTGCTTCGTGGGGACAGAGTCTCCGTGTGGGGAGATGGAAAGTTCTGGAGAAAGTTCTGGAGACAGTTTGGGGAGATGGAAAGTTTGGAGACAGATAGTGGGGGTGGTGGCACAATGGGAATGTGCTTCATGCCACTGAGCTGTACACTTAACAGTGGTTAAAATGGTACATTTTATGTATATTTTACCACAATTCAAATTAAAGTGGTAAGTAACCAAAAGACCAAAAAAATTATTGAGATGATGGTTCACTTTTGGATTTAGAGAGTTAGGGGGGACTCCAAGGAAACTGGTCCAACCTCCTCACTAGCCCCAGAGCTGGAAGAAGACCCTGCAGCACAGAGGGCGCCAGAGAGAGGAGTGGAAGCTCCAGGACGAGAGAGAGACAGACCCCAGCCCTCCCCATGTGCAGCTTCTCCTCTCCTGCCCCAGGCCCACCTTGATCTTGGAGCCAGCCGTGCTGGGGCGGCCCTTCTTGTCTACATCCAGCTTCTCAGGAAAGAGCATCCGGAGGAAGGCCCTGGGCAGGAGGACAGGAGGAGTTAGAGGTGCAGCTAGACCTTGGGTGCTAGCACAGTTGTCCCTGCGTGTGGGGGTGTAATAGTGAGAACCGCAGAGTTCATTTTGTCCTTTTGGTTCCTTGATGTATTTGCGCTGTTCCTTCTGCCGCTATGACCCTGCACGACTTGGGTAGCAAGTAAAGTAGAACAAAGGTCGGTTCAGTAGGAACATCTCTGTAGTGCTGCAGCATCTCGGCATCTCGGGCTTTAGGGGCAGGTCCCCTTGTAGGAACGATCCTACACGCACAGGCTCATGTGTGAGCGAAGAGATACAGACAAGCGTGCTCGCTGCCTGTGGTAGTCTTAGATAGGCTCAGTCTAATTGTCCATCAGCAGGGGATTGCTTCGACATTCTTTGCTCCAGTCACAATCCCCTCCCTCATCTCCTCAGCAAGGTCTTCCCCGACCGCCATCACACAGAACGAGTGCACTGCTCATCCATACATATTCGGGAGGATGAAAAAGTTCTGGAACGAGGGAGTGGGGATGGTTGTGTGGCATTGTGAATGTGCTTCACACTACTGAGCTGTACAATGCAAAATGGTGAAGAAGGTGAACTTTATAGTGTGTGTATTTTATCACACTTAAAGTAAAAAAAAAAAAAAGAAGAGTGAATGATGCCCACCACACGCTCTAGCCCTTTATCAACGTAGTTCTTCTATCCAGTGCTTGCCCCAGTGGACACCAGAATCACCAGGAGAGCTTGTGAAAACACTGGGCCCCCACCCGGTTCCTCTCGAGTTTCTCATTCACATATCTGGGCTGGGGCTCAGTAATTTCTAATGAGTTCCCAGGTGGCACTGCTGCTGCTGGTTCAGGAACCCTACTTTGAGAACCACGGCTCTGTGCTTTCCAGTATGGCGGCCCCTGGTCACTGGTTATTGAAGCCCTTGAGACTTGGCCTGTCTGAATCATGATGTGCTGGGAGTGTTAAAATGCATACCAGATTTCAAAGAGTACCGCAGTATGGGGCAAGAGAATGTAGTCCATTCACTCTTAATTGATTCATATTCATTCATTCTTAATTTTTGTATGGATTGCATGTCGAAATGATATTTTGGGTATATTGGGTATAAGAAAACATTTTTAAATGTCATCTATTCACCTCTTTACTTTTTTTAAAGTTTATTTATTTAAGTCATCACTACCCCCCAAGGTGGGACTCAAACTCATGACCCCAAGATGAAGGGTTGCGTGCTCTTTTGACCGAGCCAGCCAGGCGCCTCTCACCTTTTTACTTTTTAACTGTGCTTATTAGAAAATTTAAAATTGCATGCTGGGACGCCTTGGGGGCTCAGTGGGTTAAGCATCTGCCTTCAGCTCAGATTATGATCCCAGGGTCCTGGGACTGGGTCCCGCATCGGACTCCCTGCCCCGCGGGGAGCCTGCTTCCCCCTCTGCCTGCCATTCCCCCTGCTTGTGTTCTCTCTTTGACAAATAAATAAATAGAATCTTTTTTTTTTAAAGAAAATTTTTAAAATTACACATGTAATGGGAAGAGGGATCGACCGCCATTTGGCACAAGGGATCTTTTGGGTGTGATGCAAATGTTCCCAGCTGGGTAGTGGTCATGGTTGCACAGCTCTATACATTTCCAAAAAATCACTTCTGAAGTTGGGCACGTTTCATGGCATGCAAATTGTACGTGAAGATGGTTGTTTTAAAGTCATGATGTACGTTGCTTGGATTCTACATGGATGTGGAATGTAAGGCAGTGAGGCTCTAGATCGCTGAATCTCAAACTCAAATGTGCACGTGGTTCTGGAGGAGGCACCAGGGGCATTTTGTTACAGTGCAGATCCTGATGTCGTAGGTCTGGGGCGGAGCCTGAGATTCTGCATTTGTACCCAGCTCAGAGGATGCTCCTGTTGCTGGTCCAGGAGCCGTAATTTCAGCCTCTTACCACCGTCTTACGCCTTTCACGCGATGCTATATTCTATTTGCCTTTTTTTCTTCCAGTTCCATGCCTGCCTCCCCACTTGGCTCTCCACTCAGTGAGAGCAGCCGTGTTCTCTGACCTCTCCAGTCTCCTTCCCCACAGGTTCCAATAAATGGTGCTTGGCACATGGCAGAGCTTGAGTAAAGTTTGGAGGTTAAAAAGGCAGAAAATGGAACCCGGTATGCCGCTGTGGTCAGGGAGCTGGATCCATATGTGTTAATGCGGAGAAATGCAGGGTGCGATGTGTTTTCACGGTGTACCAGGGGACACCGTCTACACCCTGCATGGACTGGGCTTGCATGGGGGAGGACTGGATGGGCCCTAAGGAACCGCCCCTAATGCTGTCCTTACTTCTTCCTGTGGACCTTGGGCTCCTGTTTAATCAGACCCGGTCACTAGAAACACTGTCCCTGCGGACAGCCACCCCCCACAAAGCATGATGGGAGCTCCCAGGAAGATGGAGAGCTTCCCGGCCTCCCCCCATCCCTAAGCGGATTTGTGCCCGGAGGCCACTCACTGCTCACTGGTCTGCATCAGCTCTATGAGGTCAGAGAAGAGAACGTCCCGGTTCCTCTCACAAAAACCGTTAACGTCGTAGGAGACCTGGAGAGAGACAGTGTTGGGGGAATGAGGGGCTGAGGCCCGGGGGGCTGCTTACAGCCCAGGTGGTCAGGGGTCCCGTGGGGACCTGCCCTAGGTGACAAGATGGAGCGGTACTTATAGTTCACAATAAGGGGCAGGAAGCTGCAGCATGGGCTTGGGGTCCCCGGAGGTCTGATGTTCAAGTGCAGATTGGAGGGCTGGGGCTGCAGCCTGGGCCGGAGGCAGGGGGAGGCGGCAGTTCTAGCCCAGAGTGGGGGATGAGGTGCTGCAGCCTGGACAGAAGGTCCCTGGGGGTCTGCTGTTTAATTTGAAGTCAGGAGGTCAGATTGGGTATCTGTGTTGTGGTCAGTTGAGGGGCTGGGGTTGGTGTCAGGAGGGTTCCAGCACTGGCTGGAGATCCATGGGGGGCTTCAGTCTGGCTTGTAGGCTGGGTCCGCCATCCAGGGTGGGGGGCTCTCCATACTCCTGGTTGCTGCTATTCCCTGGCTGAAGGAACACAGGAGCTCTAGCCAAGTTTGGGGATCGGAGCGCTGCAGGATGGCCAAGAGACCCCTGGGGCTGTCTGCTGCCCACCTGAGGTCAATGGGAGCGTCTATAGTCCTGTCAGTTGGGGAGGAGGACTGTGGCCAGGGTCAGAGGCCGGCGGATTTCTATAGTCTTGGGTAGGGGTCTGTAGGGGGTCCCAGCCCATTCTGGAGCTTACAGCTTCCTCCTGGGGTCTTTGAGTTTGGGTCAGAAGGCTGTGTCCTGGGTCAGGGGGTTAGTGGGGTCTGCAGCTCAGATCGGGGTGTGGGTCTGCTGCCCAATGTGGGGGTCAATGGGAGGGAGTTTCTGTCCCGTTAGGCGGAGCTGTCCTGTTAGTAAAGAGAACTGTGACCTTGGTCGGGGGCGAGTGGGGGTCTCCGCAGCCCTAGCTGAAGGAACAGGGTGTGGGGCCAGGCCAGTTCCTGGGGGGTCAGTGGGAGGGGTGGAGAAAGGGGTCGCGGAGCTCGGCAGCTCTAGCTGGGAGGTCCCTGCGGGCTGCTGGGGAGGCGGCAGCCAGGTGGGATGGGCGGGGGGCGGGGCACACCGCGCACCTTGCCGGCGTAGTGGTGGATGACGAAGCCGGAGCTCCAGCTGTTGAAGTGCTCGTGGGTGCCCACTGCCGCCTGCAGCTTCTGCAGCAGGGTCTGGTCGGCGCCGCCGCCCGTGGCGTGCATGGTGGCACACACATCGTCCAGGACGCTCATGATGCCCGGGGGGTTCTGTGGGTGGGGGAGGCAGGCAGCAGCTCAGCCTGGCCCGGCCCTGCCCCCATCCCGTTCCCAGAATGGGGAGGGAGTGGAGGAGGTGGGAGGTGGGGGGCAAAGGGGGTGTGTGTGCAAATACAAGAGCAAAAGTGCAAATACAAGAGAAAGGGGGGTGCAAATACAAGAGCAAAAGGTGCTCTTTTGGTGTGCCGGACTGCTGTGGAAGCTAGTTGGGGTGAGGAGCCCCATAAAGGACCCATGCTCCTTTCCCCTCCCCAGACTGGGATGGCCTGGTGGGGCACCTGTCAGGGTTGACCCCTCTGTCCCTGAGCAGGCTGCCCTGGGGAAGGTTCGTTGAGTGAGTGGATGAGGTGGCTGGTGGGATATTTCAGTGTGCTCCATCTGCCCTTAGCGGGGAGCAGGGGTAGAGAAGGGGCCCTAACCCACCCCCTCCTCTCCCGGGCCCAGCTCCAGACCCAGCAAGACGTGCAGAGCTGGCCCAGTCCTCACCAGCTTGTTTTCAATGAGGTCGCACACGACTTTGTTGTTGAAATATTGGATGGGGGTCCAGCGGATGCCCTCCTGTACATATTCCTCCTGGGGAGCAGCAAAGGGGGCAGGGATGGGGGTGGGTGTCTGGACAAGGATGTGCATGTTTCTAGAATGTGTGCCTCACAGGGGTGGGTGAAGGAAGTGTGGTGGGTGTCTCCCTATATCTCCCTGTCTCATCACTCAGGACCGTCTCCAGTAACGAAGCCCGTTGCCCTGTATGGGGCAGGCTGGGACCGCCACCCCAGACCGCCCTTGATCACCAACAGACAGGAGCTGGTGGATAAATATCCTGGCTCCGTTGCTTCTGGGCTGGGTCAACTCGGGTCTGTGCTACAAAGTGTCCCCCCAGGGCTCAGCAGAAATTGGCCTCAATTGCCTGCAGTGTCACCTGCTCATCAATACACCTTATTCTGGCTTTTTTTTTTTTTTTTAAGATTTATTTATTTGTTTGCGCGGGGGAGGCAGGGGCAGAGGGAGAGGGAGAGAGAGAATCCCAAGCAGACTCCCCACTGAGCACGGAGCCCGACCTGGGGCTTGATCCTAGGACCCTGAGATCCTGACCTGACTGAAATCAAGAGTTGGACACCTAGCCAACTGAACCACCCAGGCGTTTCCCCCCCCACAACTATTTTTTTTTTTTTAAATATGTCTCCCACTTCCTCACTCCTCTCCTGATATTTGCCCTGAATCCTTGTCTCAGGCTCTGCTTCTGCGGGATTGGATTGGATGAAAACACCAGGAATTTTTGTGCCTCTCTTGCATGGCGGTCTCCCCAACACTGCAAACAGTGCCTGGCACACAGCAGGTGCTCAATAAATAATCATTGGAGGAATGACCAAAGAGGCTATGCCACAGCCCTTGTCAAAGTTTTAGAGGCAGAAAACTGCTTCCATAGGAAATGTCATGACGGGGCCTGGACAGGTCAGCAGAGAGAGGTGGGAATGGGAGGCTTGAGGGGGGGCGTTTCCCCGGGTTGCTCAGCAACCTTCATGGTCCTGCCCCCACCCTCAGTGCCCCCTGGCTCCCGGCTGCCCCTGCCCACCTGCTCAGCTTTCAGGGTGAGTTCGATAAAGATCTGCTGCAGCTTCTCGTTGACAAAGTTGATGCAGAACTGCTCAAAGCCGTTTTTCTGCCAAGGGAGGCCAGGGGTGCTGCCATCAGTGGGCTGATGCTGGAGCCTGCTGGGGCCACTGGGCTACCGCAGGAGGCTCAGGGAGGCACAGGGTGCGGGCTGGGGAGCAGAGGCCATACCTGGAAGATCTCAAAGCCATAGATGTCAAGCACACCAATACTGTACTCCTCCTGGGGCTTCTGCATAGCGCGGTTGATGGCCTGCAACGTGGGCGGGGAGAGTAGGGGAGTGCCAGCTTGTCACACTCTGTGTGTGCTCGCAACCGTGTTCGCGGGCTGTGTCCTCTCTTGTCAGCTCCTCTCCTGCCTTCTCCAGCTCTCTGTCCCCCGCCCCCAGTCACCGCACAAGAAACCCAGGTGTTAGAAATCCGGGTTCCTACCTTGGGAGCTCGCTTTGCCTCTTAACCATTCTGCACTTCTATTTTCCCGTCTTTAAAATGGGGGTAATAATGGCAGCCACTCTGTAGGGCTTTATAAAGGCATTAAATTGACGCATGTAAAGACACTGGAACGGTAGCTGGCGGAGGCTAAGCGTTCCGTAATGTTGGCTCCTAGAGCGTTGTCATCGCGTTTGGCCTTGACACGTCCAGTGCATCCCTTTGTCCTCCTGACAGCCCCCCTGTGGCTCTCAAATGCACCCATCTGTCTCTGTCCCCACAGCCCTGACCCCAGTCCAGGCCTGGATGCTTCCAGCAGCCCCCTCCCTCCCGGGCTCCATGCCACAGCCAGACAGAGCCTCCTCCTAAATCTTCCACCTGATCCCCTCCTGCCCCTGCTTGATGCCTCCCATTGCCGGGAATTGGCCAGGTGACTGTCAAGCCTGCCTTCCCCACTTGGCTGGTCTAAGCCCAGGGCACTGTGGGGCAAGGCCTCTCCCACCCCCTGGCCCCGGCCCCTCTCACCTCCACGAGAAAGTCGAAGAGACGGGCATAGAGCCCCTTGGCCAGGGCATCGCGGGTGTAGGCCGCCTGCTCCACGTTGAGGGTCACGTCGATGGACTCGCTGCGTCCGCCCCAGCGGCTGTCCATCTTGCGGCTGGTGAGCTTCTCCTGTAGCCGCCCACTGTCGATGCCCAGCAGGTAGGCAGGAAAGGCCAGAACTGCCAGGGTTGGGGGGAAAGAGAGCAGCCAGTTAGGCTCTGGGGCCTCCTGTGGTACTTCCTTTGCCCTCCTTTGTGCCCAGTGACACAGATATTGTCCTCATGGGTTCTAACCCCCTGGGGCCCTTCTTAGGAGGAAGCAGTTGGGATACACACGTCCACCCCACCCTCCCCAGCACCCACACTCACGGTCCACACTCTCCACCCGGGCGTAGTTCCCATCTTCACAGAAGCTGATGTTTCCCAAGTGCAAGATTCCCGCCACCAGCTGCAGGACCAGCTGCTGGATGTTGGGCGGGATCCCAATGACCTGCATGGCATTCTGCAGGCACAACAGGGGCAGAACCTGTACCACGGATCGCCACCTCTGCCCTGCCCTCCTGGGTTAGGCTTCTGGGGCCACAGCACGGACGCAGGGAGTCACCTGGATCCCTGTCTTGCCTATTTCACCCGCTTGCTGTGTGGCCTGAGGCAAGTCCCTGCCCCTCTCTGGGCCTCGGCCTTCTAGAGTGGTGGTCACTGCTCACCAAAGTCTCACTGAAGTCGCTCAGGTCATCGGTGCCATCCACCTTGTAGGTGTCTGATTGGAGGTAGTAATAGTAGTCGGGGGTCATGAGCCCCAGGTTCTGCCGCTGCTCCTGGGAGGCTCCTTCCAGCAGCTGGAGGGCGAGCAATGCTCATGCAACTGGCATTGGACTGGCACAACCCTTGTGATGCCTCGGTCTTCACTGTCCTGGGCTCCGGGACACTAACCCTCCCCTGTCTCCCCTTGGGCTCTCCCTCTGCCCCATCCTCACCCTCACGGCCCCTTTCCTTGCACCTGATAGTAGATGTGGAAGTTCCTCTCGTTTTCGTTCTGCATGACCACACGGGATTTCTCTAGCAGGAAGTTGGAGATCTTGCCCCCGTCCGGCTCCCCGCCACGGCTGAACTGGATCTCAAAGTACTTGCCCTGAAGCCGAGAGAGCCAGGTGAGGTGCCCAGGGTTCCCCGGGGGTGCAGGTAGGGGAGGAACAGAGGATGGGTCTTAGAAGCGCGGCCTCTTTCCCACATGATCTCAACTCTCCTCTCTCCACCTCCCACTTATGGACTGGTCGCTCTCTGCATCAGCTCCTTCCCCCCAGCCTCTGTTTAAGCTGCTCCTTCTCTAGTAACTTCCCCTCATCAGGGCATCCAGCCCTGTGCCTGGCACATAAAAGTACCCCATTTTATTGACCACTTTCCTGGTCCTTCGACCACAACGCAGAGGCCTCCGTGTCTCTTCGGGCTGCTGCTGGTTTCAGTGATCCTGGCTCTCTCTCACAGGTTGTCCCTGAGCCCCGAGCGAGGGCCCCACAAGCCCTTTCTTTGGTCTCTGACAATATCTGGGTTCTACTCTGGTCAGAGGTTGGAGGGCAGAGAAGCCCCCTTACTTTTTCCTTTCTGCCACTGTCATGCAATGACAATACCCATTACATCATCCCACTACACAGACACCTGTAATACAAGACGTATACCTATTTTATTGTACAATAAAATAATATAAAACATAACTATATGTTGGAGGTTCATCCATGTTGTTGTGTGTATCAGTAGTTTGAAAATATATACTGCGTGATTCCATTTATATAAAGTTCTAGAACAGCTGAAAAATGGTGGGAAAAAAAAAGACCCAGAGGAGTGGTTGCTTCTGGGATGAGGTGGGAATAAAGGTTGACTGAAAAGGGAAGGAACTTTCTGGAGTGACGGTGATGTTCTGTGTGTTGATAAGGCTTTGGTTGCACAGATGCATGCATTTTTCTAAACTCGGTGAATGGTCCACTTTAGATTTATGTGTTTTGCTATACGCAAATTTTACTTTAAAAGAAATGAAAGAGCACTGCAAATTTATATTGGACTATAATTAATGATCTGCATGCTGATGTGTTGGCAGGGCAGAAAGTATGGTGTCTGCTCTCTTTAGTGCATCAAAAAAAAAAAAAAGATGAATAGGGGCGCCTGGTTGGCTCAGTCAGTGGAGTGTGTGACTCTTAAACTCAGGGCTGTGAGTTCAAGCCCCACATTGGGTGTGGAGCTTACTTAAAAAAAAACATATAAACAGATGGAGTTATGATAAAGTGAGCATAGCAAAATGTTAACGATAGATCTCGGAGATGGGCAGCAGGTGTTCACTCTACCATTCTCCCAATTTTTCTGTGTTTTATTTTTTTTTAAAAGTAGGCTCCACGTCCCGTGTGGAGCCCAATGCGGGCCTGAACTCATGACCTTGAAATCAAGAGTTGGATGCTCAACTGACTGGGCGACCCAGGTGCCCCATTAAAAATTTTAATAATAAAATGTTGAGGAAAATACTTAAAATATAATTACATGATGAATATGTTAGAAATAAAAATATAATTAATAATATTTAGGGGAATAAAAATCTTATTAGTGTATGGAATTTATTAAATCATTTCATGTGTAGGTATTGGACTGGAATTATTGAGGTCTGTGAGATGGGTATTAACATCATCCCCATTTTATGGATGAGAAAACAGGAGCCTCAGGAGGTTTAAGCTACTGAAACATTGTTGTTGTTTTTTTTTTTGTCCAAGCCACAAATCTAAATAGTGACAGAATCAGACCATAAATCCAGATCTGTTGGCCTATTCTGTCTTCCATTAGGCTCAGCACTAACACCTGACACAAAGAAGGAGCCCAAGAACAATTTGTTGAAAGAAAGAATGAATGGGAGAATTGGGAACTGAACTGTGAATAGGAACGGATGTAGCATGGTCACAGCCAGGGAAATATTTAAGAATGTTACAAGTCCAGGCTTCTACAGTTCAGCTGATGGGGGAGGCTTTTTCAGGACTACAAGCAGGAAGTGAGTCTCCCATCCAGGAGCGGGGCGCGCGCGCGTGCGTGCATGCGTGCGTGTGTGCGTGTGTGTGTGTGTGCGTGTGTGTGTGTCAGTTGCTCCAAAGCGGGGCTGCAGACTCACAAAGCGGCTGGAATTGTTGTTGCGCACGGTCTTGGCATTGCCGAAGGCCTCCAGCAGTGGGTTTGATTGTAGGATGATATCCTTCACGTGCTGGGAGCAGAGGCAGGTGGAGGTGGGAAGAGGTCAGGACGAGGTAGGTTGTCCTGGGCGTTAATTACTGTGCCCCTGGGGAGACCCAGCCCATCCTTCTGTTCTCCCCTCACCTGGACCTTCTCACCCCCGCCAGACACCTTGGAGATGTAGCCCATGATGTATTTGGCTGCCACGGTCTTCCCAGCTCCACTCTCTCCACTGGGGGTGGGTGAGGGAAAGAATGATCAACGGCCATCGGGGAGGGAAGGTTGGGGGGGTAAGTGCCCTTTCTAGTGCCTGATCATTCATTCATTCATTCCCTACTGTGTGCCAGGCACTATACCAGATTCTGGGGAAACAATAGTGAACAAGACAGACAAAAATCCCTGCTGTCTCAGAGCTGACATTTTGAATGGACAGATGGACAATAACAGAATGACAGAATAAATATATCATGGGTCAGGGGGTGACAAAGAAAGTAAAGCAGGGCCAGGGGCAGAGAAGGACAGTAAGGTTCTGTTTGGATCAGGAGTTCTGAGCAAAGTTCCCTAGGGTGCTGAGGCTGTTGTGGGGCCTGGGCAGGAGGGTGTTGAAACCCCCTCCCCCCCCCACTCTCTGTACCTGATGATGACACACTGGTTCTCACAGTCAATGAGCATGTTGCGATACATGTTGTCCGTGAGGGCATAGATGTGCGGGGGATTCTCGTACTGAGCCTGATGGGGAAGGTCAGGTCTTAGCCCAGGGCTAGAGGCTGGGGGTCCCGGGGCTATGCCTCCCACCTGGCCCCGGTCTTACCGCGCCCTGGTAGAGGTCGATCTCGCGGTCAGTGAAGTAAGGCATCTGCTTGAAGGGGTTTACGGAGATGAGCACGGAGCCAATATAGGTCTGGGGTGCCGTTAAGGGCTGTGCGGTGTTCTGGCTGGCTTTGTTCCTCATGGGCCCCCGTCCCCTAAATCCTAATCTCCTGGGGCCTCCAGAGCCCCATTGCTCAGAGCAAGAGAGGGAGATACTCAGATGTGCTCTGGGTCTTTTCGGGAAAACACAGAGCCGGGTCCAGAAAGGAGAGATGGAAGGTACTGTGGCTGAGCTACCCAGGGCAGAGGGAGCAGTGAGGACCCCAGCAGCCCCCAAGCAGAGCCCTGCTGTCACTCCCATCTGTCCCCTCCTCCCACCCGATGCTCTCACTGCCCATCCCTCCTTCTGCTCATTTGCTCAGGCATCTGTCCATCCCTTCCGTGCTCCAGTCTCTCTGCCACCCTTCTCTGCGTGCATCCACGTGCCATCCCTCCCTCCACTGGTCAGTCACCCTCCTGTCCCTGTCTCCATCATCTGCCCGCCCCCGCCCACGGCGCAGGGTACAAAGATGTAGTCGTCCATGAAGCGCTTGCGGAGGTTGCCCACGATGGCGTCCTCGGTGATCTGGGGCAGCAACACCATGTCATCCACGCCGCTCTGCTTCACGTTGTGGCTCTGCCAGTGGAAGCGCTCCTTGCTGCCCTGGGGTGGGGGTGGCCAGATGGGAGTGAGCCCCTGCCGGGCGGTGGGGTGGGGTAGGAGCGGGGGGTGGGGCACGGCGGGGGTGGTCCTGATGTCTCAGCGCCCCCGCCTGGCTCACCTCCATCACCTCCCTCTGTCCACTCGCCAGCCTCCTTCCCCAATTGGGGGACACCCGGGGAGGTGGGGGAGGTGGAGTCCGGGCTCCCTGCCCCAGAGGAGGGGGCTCTGTCCTCCCATACCTCCACCTAGTGTCCCACTGTCACGGATGCCAGGCCCAGGGCGGGGAAGAGTGTGCTTGGGGCTCTGGCGGCTGTGAGAGGGGAGAAGGGTCGGGGGAGGCTTGTTTGGGGGGGTTGACTCACCCTCTTTCTCACTTCTCTGTGGCATTTTGACCTGCCACCCACCCTTCCACCTCTAGATGGCCTGCTTCCTCCTCCTCTCCTCCTCCCTCATGGTCATGCATCCTAGCCTGTTCTGGCTGTGACCTCTGTCCTCTGTACCCAGCCTTGACCCTGCTCCTCGGCCTCCATGGCTTTCCCTTCTCATTTCCTCCCTCAGTTTTTTTTTTTTTTTTTTTTTAATCATGTGAGACTTTCCTTAGGCCCCTGGGAGGGGACTCAGACACAGGCTCCCTCCCAACAGACCCCTCCTCCAGGAAGCCTGCCTGGAATGTTTTCTCTTTTCAGCCCGACTGAGCTCATCCAGCGCCTCGGACACTTAAACATACTGGCTGTCTCAGGTGCGCTCTGTTCGGTATACCCCTGCCATGGACGAGTCTGGCAAACAGGTGAGTGATGGCGGCCCAGAGCTTCCCTGGCAGGCGTGCTCATGCCTACATGAGATGTCCCCCCTCCAGGAAGCCCCTCATTCTCAGACCAGGAGCTCTTGGAGGGCAGGGACTGGGACTGAGTCCTTTCTCAGCTCTAGGAGGGATGACCTGACGGATGAACAGGGAACAGGGGCAAAGAAAGAAACCCAGCTTCAGAGGAACACCCCAAGAGCAAAGGATGCTGGGAATCAGAGGCAAGTCCTCAAAGCTGACCAGTGTTTGCCACACAGATTCCGGGGAAGAGAGATGGTGCGTGGGGCGGACAGGATGCAGGCAGGCGTGGAGCAGGAGGGCCGTGTAGGACAGAGGTGTAGGAGGGGCTGGTCTCTCTTGGGGACCCTGGGGAATTCCTGAGCAGGGGAGTTGCAAGGTCACATTGTGGACATGCTGACAACCAGAGCAGTGTTCATTGAGGAATGCCCACAGACATTAAATGAGGCCGATTTCTGGTGGGGGGTAGATCTGGGTTCCAATCCAGGTGGGGTGATCCAACACCGCTCTGAGCCTCAGTGGCCTCATCTGTACAATGGGAGAAGCAGCCTCACTTTCCAGGGCTAACAGGAGCAAGTAAACTGCTCTGGGGTACAAAATCCAAAATGGGGTGAGGGGCTGGCACTCCTCTCCAGCCCAAGGAATGGTGAGGATGGGCCCTGGGCAGAGGCGTACTGGACGGAATTAACATTCACCAAGCGCCCATGACATGCTTGATGCAGGGGGGCCGGGGGTGAAGCCAATATTATGAGCAGTCCTCATGGCAGCTCAGGGGAGTCTAGGGCAGAAAGTGAGGCTCGAGAAGTGTTTGACACTTGACTACGGACCCGGCTCAGTTGTCTCCGAGGGTGTGGGACTGGAGTCTGGATCCATCTGACAGCAAAGGCCAGGCTCTTGCGTCTACACCCACAAGTGACTGGGGCCCACGGGGTGTTTGGGCTGGGCCTCGAAAATCAAGAAGGGCTTTGGTCAAGAGCTGGGAGAAGAGGCGTGCCAGGCAGTGTGCGGGTGCAGAAGCAGGAGCCAAAAGCAGAGGACTGAGCCTATGTGGGGGCTTAGGGCTCGAACCCCTTCAAACTGCTTCCAGCCTGAGCTGTCAGACTGAGTTTTTCATATGGCAAACCTGGTCTCCTTGCTCCGGGGCTGAGAAACCATCTGTGGCTTCCCATCATGCTCCCAGCCATCCCACAAAAGATTCTGGGGCACTTACTCTGTGCTGGTAACTTCGGCCCCCAGGGAAACACCCTTTCAGGCCCTAACCTGGGTGCCTCCGAGCTTTGCTGATGCTCAGGCCTCTGGCCAGAACACCTTGTCTGGCCTTCACACTTGGCTCAGGTGACGTTTCCTGTAAGAAGCCGTCCCCAACCCCAGGCCAGGTGGAGGTTCCCTCTGGACCCCCACAACCTCCGGGGCCCCTCACCACAGCCCTGGCCACATGCTGGACACCCTGTACGTTGGCTGCATCTTGTGGTGTGTAAGCTTCTGAGGGCAGGGGCTCGGGCAATGCCCGGCTGCACATGGCGTGGGGGCTCATTTGAATGAGCGAGTCGAAGAGTGGTATAGCCCGTGAATGAATGCAGGGGAGGTCAACCAGGGCCAGGTCCCGAAGGGCCTTGAATGCGGAGCAAAGGAACTCAGCCTTGATTGTCAGCAGCTTGGAGAATTCTCAACAGGGCTCCTGGGGACGCTTTAAGAATTGTGAGAGCATTTTTGGTTGTCCCGGGGATGGGGACTGGCTGGCATTTGGGCTGCAGGTGCCAAATTGGCCCACAAATTATTGCCCTGACCACAGCCCCCACTCCACCCCACCAGCTGCTCATGTAAGCGACAAAACTGTTTATAATCATTGGAATCTAGGATCAAATTCTATTTTATGTCTACACAGAAAAGCTAGGTATGTTTTGCATGGCTGACACCCACTCCATCTTCCAGACTACCTGTATCAAGGGAGATTTTAGTGTTACTCAGATTGCACTAAGACTTGTTCGGCATTTGGAAGCTCAAGCTGCTCATGGTGTTAGTGTGGCTGACGTGTCACTTGGCATCAGCTCATTGAGATGCCCCTGTGTCCCCACGTGAGCACCTGGGGGCTCCAGTGGGCGTTCATGGGCCATTGGCCTGAGCATCTTCATCTTTATGCGCATATTTTCTTCCCAGTGACTTTCTCCTCCGCATTACAGGAAATCACATTGTTTCTGAAACATGGGAGTCGGTGTGTTTCACTGTCTGTGAATTTCAATGCAGGGTTTCAAGGGGGCGCCTGCCAAGGGGTCTGTTATAAGAAGGGGTGCTGGGTGTGATGCACCAAGAACCCCGGGGTGCAGTGGGAAGGGTGGTGGGGAGGACAAAGCTATGGGAGCAGCATTGTGCAGGGGTTGGAGGGGATGCCTGTGACAGAGGCTGAGCAGGGCGTCAGCTGGGAGGTTGGAGGCAGCCAGGACCGGTGGGACCTGGAGAGGACAAGGGCCAGCTGGGAGAAGCAGGGAGCCATCGACCGGACCCCCGAGCTGCTGAAGAGTGTCCAGCTCACCGGAGGCTCAGAGGGGCCCCCGTGGAGAGCACTGGCGACCTCATTCAGAAGCCAGATTGGGAGGTCAGGAGGTGTAGACAGGGAGTGAGGATGGCTTTCAGACGGTCTGGCTGAGAAGGGGAAGAGGGAAAGATGCTGTGGGAAGAGGAGGGGTCAGGGAGCAGGTTTCCTGTTTTCAAGATGGGGAGACCAGAGCGTGTTGGTAAGACGGGATGAAATCTGGGAGCAAAGTGGTATCCTTCATGGGCTGCTGTCACCCAGGGGCTGCAGGCGGGGGTCTGCTCTTTCTCTGAGCCAAGGTCGGTGGGGAAGTGGGTGGGTGGGGGGCTGATGGGGGGACAGGAAGTGGATCCTCTCTCTGAAGACCTCTGAGGGGTGGGGCTTCGGGTGGCAACTATGGTAACCAACAGCCATCATAAGGATAGTTAACAGCCCACTGGCACGCACTTACTGTGTGCCACACCGTGGTCTAGGCTTCTTCGGCGAATGACCTCATTTATCGGGCTGAGATCAGTCCTGTGACCAGGTCCACTTTGTGGAAGAGAAAACTAAAGCACAGAGAGGTTCGTTGTCCTCTCCAAGGTCACACAGCAGGAAGGGAGGATGGCTGCCCTCAGTCCCATCTCAGGTCAGAGGTGGCTGGGGTTGGTGCTTCAGATCAGATGAAGATGGGGCGGAGAGGAGATTGGTCCTGTCCAGAGCTTCCCGTGGGGGGTCAGTCCGGTCTCTACCCTCAAGCTGGGCCGAGGCTCAAGGCCACTTCCTTTCTGTGATGCTGGCTATGTCTGGCTGGTTCTCTTGGCCCCAAGGACTTGGTTCCTCTTCCTTCTTCCCCCAGCCAGCTGAGTGGCCCTCTGCCTCTTGCAGCCCCTGCCATTCTGTCTCTCTGTGTCCTGCCCCTGGGGAACCTGGAGCCTCCAGATCCACTCCCAGCCCCCTGTGCGGACAAAACCATGGGTTGTTGGTGGTAGAGGGAGAGAAGGTGTTGCTCAAGTGAGTACAGTGTGTGGAAGGACAGTCAAGAATTTTGGCATAGGACCAGTTGGGTGTGAGGCCTGGCTTGATGGTTGACTGACTATGTGACCCCGGGGAGGCCGCTTCACTTCTCCAAGCCTCGGTTTTCCCATCTGTAGAATGGATTCCATAATAAACCTCCTCCACTGGTTCTCTCACTGAGAGGAGTCAGTGAGCCAGTGCAGAGAGGAGGTGCACTGGATGCCTCAGGAAATGGCAGCTGGTGACCCCAAGAGCACTTAGTGATCGGTGTTTCACAGAGGATATAGGAGCTGGTGGGTAGACGCTTGTTGAGGGAGTGAAAGAATGAATGAGGTACAACTGGGACGAGACTGCCGCCTCCTGCCCTGTGTCATAAGTACCCATCTCCCTGTGGCTCCCCAGTCTCCTAGATCAAGTTGAAACTGAATTTCTGAGTCCCTTCCTTGGGGGTGGGGGTGCAATGAAGATGTTGTGGTCACAGTTGACCACAAGCCAAGTATGACTCAACCTGATGGGGCTCTTGTGAAAGAGAGTCAGGGCTGGGGTGGGAGGTGGGAGGTAGCTTCTAACTTTGGCTTTTTGGAGAGACTCCCCCCCAGTCTAAGACAGAGGGCATGTGGAGTGGGGCTTCTGGTTTCTTTGGAGTGGAGATTCCAGGCCCAAATGAGGCTGGAGGGTTGGGCAGCTTGGGGCATGTCAGTACCCCCAAGTCCCCACAGCTCCTCATCTTGTAGGGAGGAGCAGGACATTGCAGGTCAAGGTGGCTGTTAAAAGTGTGACTTTAGGAGTCACTGAGTTAACATCCTCTGCCACTTTTGGGTTGTCCAGCAGCTCATGTAACCTCCCTGGAAGGGAAGGTTATTTCCTCATCTGGAAATAGTGATGGCTATTCCCTCATCGGGAAAGTGGGAACACTGAGGGCTACAGGCCTCATGGGGGCAGCTAGCCGTGCAGATTGAATGAGGTCAGGCTTGGGAAGCAGAAACACTAGCTGTCTTCAGCATGCCCAGCGGCAGCAGCCTGAAGCTGGCCGGTCCCACAGGCTCAGGGTGCAAGGCCAGGAGGAGGGGCTGGACGCGGGAGCTTTTGCAATTTGCCCTAACTGCTCTGGCCTCCTAGCTCCTGGGTGCTGATGAGAAGAGCCCCAGATGGAGAGACTAACGAAACAGCCACTTCCTTCCTTGTTGGGGTCCTGCAAGCTGTGGCCGCAAGCAGGGAGGAGATGTGAAGCTGCCATGGCAGCCGCTGCTGGGGCCGGCCCCCAGCTGCTGTCCCCCGTCCCCACCCCCCACCCTGGCATGTCCCTGCAGCCTTGGTCCGGTCCTCCCCCAACTCAGTGGGGCTCTCGGGCCACACCCTGCGTCCCTGCGGTGCAAACAGCATCCTCGCCTCCAAAGGCTCTTGAGGTCCCTCCTCCCTTGGGGGGAGGGCTCTCAGTTTCCTTTTGGCCTAACTGGAGGGGACAGGTGGGGACCCTTGTCCTTCTAGAGTCCTCTGCCCCAACTCTCTCTTGGCCAACAGCCTTCTCTGTCCATCCCCACGGCTGCTGCCTGTGCACCAAGCAGCCACATCACTGTCTCCCTGCTCTGTGTCTATACTTTACAATCACCCTTACCCTCACCCCGCCACCACCACCACCAACTGGGGACGGTCAGTTGTTGCCTTCACCCACCTTGCCATCAAAGTCAAACAAAAACTGCTGAACCTCAGTACCAGCCCCAGCAGTCAACATCAAACAGGAAAACAATGATGAATCGCACCACCAATTTCCCTAGCATCACCCACTGCCGCGACAACCACGCTCACAATCCTAGCCATAAATAACCACACAGGACCAGCTACCATGGAAACAGCCACTCCAAAACCAACATGGCCAACCAACAGCAGAAGAATGCTATACCATCCCCACCCAACTCCGAAGGACAGGGACCACCAACGGCCATCGTTCCACGGATCAACCCTGACAATGACCCACCACCGACTGCAAACATTCCACACTAGCTGGCACCAAAAGCAACCGTCACCACCACCAACACACCCATGAGAACTAGTCACTGCCAACTTGCAACAACAGACAGCAATGAGCACCATCCCCGCCAGTGGCACCAACAACCCAACAACCAACGTTCAACAGCGACTGAGAACGAGTCACCTCCACCCACCAACATCACTAACTCCAGCAATGACCAAGCATCACCCACAGTGATGGTTACTATATAGAGTGCCTAGTAGGTGCTCTGTAAAGCACTTTATGAACATTGTTTCATTGAATCTTTCAACACTCTTCCTGGCACTTGTCATCATCGCTCCAGGAAGAAATCAGCACCCCTAGATAGAAGTATTAGCCTCGTGGGTGGGGTCTGCTCTTTTTTGCCCCCTCTGTGGTCCTCTTGGGGGAGTTTCTCCTCTCCCACAGCCCGTCGGCGTAGCAAACCATTGACTAAGCATTTCATATGGCTTCCTTGGGAGGGGTTGCTTTTCTTTCAAGTAGCAAATCATTTCCTGTGTTCTTTTGATCAAAGTCGGCCCATCTGATCCCCTGAGCCCTCCTGCCTTGGCTCCTTCTTCGAAGAATTTCCATCCCAAGCCCAGAGCTCTAGCTGATGGTTTGGTTTGTGAGTTACCCAGAGGGGTCCTTGGCCCGCGATGCCCAATGTATCCTCGGCTTTCTGAAGTCAGGAGAGGTTCTCTCTCAGACTAACACAATCCCTGCCGCTTGGTCTACCACCCAGCCTCCTCCACCTCGGTCAGCAGCTACCTGCTGCAACTGCCAGGGAGACTGCAGTCGTCACCACTGGCTCTGTGACTGTCCCTGCCACATGCTCTCATTGACAGACTGACAAAAAATGAAAGCTGAAGTGGCTTGCAGGAGCGGTGGGGGCAAATTTTCTAGCAGCCCGGGCTCTCTCTTCATGTGTGTCATGATGCTGCTGGGTCTAGACCTGTGTCAGTGACAGTCTCCTGAACCCTGTCACCTAATCATCATCGAATCTCAACCTCACCCGGGTGGTGACACCTCTGGCCGCAAAGTATCCCCTGACATACATGCTCAGGAGGGTACCAGTGGTGGTGTGGCCGTGCCGGGTCTCACCGTCTTCTGTTTCTGGGATTGCTATGACCAGGCCACCCCTACACAGGCAGGATGTCACCACACCATCGCTGCCCCCCATTGCCCATTCGACCCAGCTTCTGCTCCCAGCTGTGGACTCAGAGTGGTGGAACCGACAGACTTGCTGAAGTTCTGAGACTTTCCCCGACTACTTTCTACATCTCAGCTGACTTCCAAATATGACATATGTGGGAACCGAGGCCCAGAGAGGGGAAGTGACTTGCCCAAGGCCACACGGGAAGATGAGGGACCCAGCCGGGCTGGAAACTGGTTCCCGAAGCCCCGAGAAAGGGGTCTGTCCTTGTCCCTGCAGATACCGTGTGATCCCACAGGGTCATCCTCTGTCCTTCAGTTACTGGTCCCTCCTTGGTCCTCCATCACCACTCTGGCATCCTGGCACCACTAGATGTGAGCTTGGTCCCTGGTGAAGGATGCTGGGGGCACCTGAGCTGCAGTGAGGGACCCCCAAAGGGTCTGCTGTGCCCATCCCCACGGCCCCACCTTCTGATTGGTGGCATCCAGGTCACCTCCACCTGGCTGGTGCCCCCCACCCCTGCACTTCAGGGCCCACCCTTGAAGGACTTACCATGGTCGGAGGTTGTATCGGGCTCCTGGGGAGTGCCTGGATGGGTCGTGGCAGTGGTAGAGGCTCAGGGTGTTCTAGGGGGTGGCTCGGGCATGGCCTTGCTCCTGCTCCTGCACCAGACTCCCAGCCCTAGTTCCTCTTAGAACAGCCCCTGTCCCACTTCCTTTAGCGGGAGGGGCCCCTGCTACAGGGGAGGGAAGCTGTGCTAAGGGCGGGGAGAGAGCTCCAGCTGCAGCTCTGGGGCTGAGGGTGCTGGCCGTTTGGGGCTCTGCGCCTGAAGGGAGAGGTCGAGGATTGATGGCAGTGGCTGCCAGGTTCCGGAAAGGTCCTTTCTCCAACTCCGTGGATAGGGGCTGCAGCAAACAGCACGCAGGTCAGCTGGCTGCAGGACTGACTGCTTGTTCAGAGCAACCTCGGGAAGCGCTTGGGCTGCTCATGTCTCTTCAAAACCACTTCAGATGTGCGTCTGTTCCAGCGTCCCTAAGCAAACTCCCTCTTCCAGAGCCGCCTCTGCTGGTCTTTTCCCCAGAAAGGCCAGTGGGGAGCCACGCGGGTTGGGGTCGGGGGCGGGGGGGGGGGACGACCCACATCGCGAGTGGAGGTTACTAGGAACCAGGGGAGAGCTGTTAGATCCCAGACTTGGGATGTTAGCTCTGGATTTAATACCCCCCGGCTCTGCTACTTCTGGGCCCCCCACTTTTTTATAAAATGGGGGTGCAGGCCCTCGCCGCAGTGCCCGGCACACATAGGATTCATCAAGTGTTGGCCCATGTCCCGATCTTGGGAGAGCAGCAGGCGACGTCCTGGTCTCCTCTTGACATTTAGGAAGTGGCATTTCGGACAGGTTGTCACCTCCCGTGCCACACAGCGGGGAGGAGGCGGACGCCGACCCTGGGAGCCTGGCAGGGAGGCGAGGACCCGGGTATCCCTGCGCTCTGGGCGGTACACAGCGTCGCGCCGGGACGTTGGCAGGGCGCGGCGCCCCCTAGTGGGCCACATCGGCGGAGGAGCGCGTCTCTCCCGGAATCTCTCGCACGAGGTTGCTCGAGGGCTTGGCGCCTGCCAACCGCACCCATGCCTCCAGGCACCGGTGAATGAGCAGGCAGGGGCGCCTTCTCCTTGTTGGAGGCTTCCGAAGGGGCTTCTGCACGGAGGGGACGCCGGTGCTGAGGCTGCAGGGTGAGCTGGAGTTAACCAGGTGAAAAGGGGAGGGGAGGGTACACCTGGCAGAGGAAGCAGCTCTAGCAAATGCCCCCCCCGACCCCCCCCCCCCCCGAGATGGGAAGATGGCGGGAGACTGAGGAACTTCCGCGAAGCCCGGGAGCCCCGTGCGGCTGGAGCGTGCAGAGGGCCTGGGGATGCGGTGGCCGGGGACAGCAGGTGTCAGACCGGGTAGCTTTGAGTCCCTCCTTGAGAAGCTGTAAAATCACTGGGCTCTGGTCTGTGCTGGTGACAGGCCCCTTTGGACTGATGGGGACCACCTGCGGGAGGGGGGAAGCACGGCCGCTTCCGTTCGGTGGTGGGGACTGCGTGTGACTCAGACACACTGACACGCACCCAAATCAACACTCGGAAATCTACACAAGACAGAACTTTATTGATGGAGGGCTTCCTGGCGAGGGGTGGGTGGGCCCCAGGGCAGGGCCTGTAGCACCATGATGGGGGCGCCTGGATGTCGGGGTCCCCCTGGGGCAGGCAGGGCAGAGGTTGGGGCAGATCTTGCCAACTCTGCCTCAGCCCTGTAGCTAGTCTGGTCAGGGGGAGGGTGTCACGGGGGTGGTGCTAATCCCCCTCCCCCATAGCGGACATAGACGCTCCCCCTCCCCCTTCCCCCCCAGCTCAGAGTGGAGGGATAGGGCAGTGCTGGGGGCAGGACGCAGGCAGACCCCCTCCCCACCCCCACTCTTCACAGTACATATTCCGGTCAAAGGGGGGGCAGTATTGGGGGCTCCCTAGGAGTGGGTGAAAGGGGCGCTAGGGCGAACAGTTGTTCCCTCCTCAAACCCACCCTGGAGGGGGTATCACTGTGAACTGGGAGAGGGGATGAGGAAGGGGCCCTGGGGTGGCCAGCCCCTCTCCATCCCCCAGCCAGGGGCCCTGCAGGGGTTCCCAATAAATAACTTCCGGCTTCGTCTCACCCTTTACTCCCAGCTCCCGCCCCCTCGGGCTCCTTCAGGCTGGCCAGCTGCGGGCCGGGTCCCCTCCAGCCGGCGCCCAGCTGTAGCTCCGGGGCCGCGCGCCCCCTAGCGGCCCTGGCAGGTTTTGCAGCACATCTGGCGGAAGTAGGCTCTGCTGCAGAACTGAAATTTGAGCACCAGGGGGCAGTAGGCGACCTTGTTCACATCCTTGCATTCTGGAGGGGGGCGGGAGAACGGGGTGGGGGGGGGAGGGAGTGATCAGATCTCAGCGCCCCTTCCCTCCGGGGCGCGTCTGCAGCCTGCACTGAGCTTCCTAGCTTTTCTGCCTCAGTTTCCTCGCTTTTCAAAGGGAGCTTATAACTGTAACTCAAAGGGGGGCTTGTAAATCGGTCATTAGGCTGTTGGAGGACTTTGAGAGAGAGACAGTGCTGGGTCTGGAACTCAGAGCCAGCATTAAATCACGAGAAGAGTATTCCCTTTCAGTTATCCTTTAAATCCATTTGGGGCTGTAATCCTTGCTCGTTATCCTTTGTAATAGACGGAGGACCCTGAGCTCCAGAGAAGGTGCTCCTTTTCAGGGTATTTGAGTATTTTGTGTTCACGGTAATCGACCATCTGTTTGCGACAATGATGCGGGCTTCCACTTGGCCAGTGATGTAGGACAGGGCCTGGTGCCTAATAAAGGGTTTCACGTGGATTGTTTTATTCCATCTCCCTCATGCAGCACCCCTCTCAAGTGAGTATATTATTTATCCCCCTTGGCAGATTAGAAGGCACAGAGGAGGGAGCCCAATCCGGGCAGTTTGGTTCCAGTGCCCGGAGTAAGCGATCTATTGCCCTGTATGAAAAATAAATTTACTTAGGTAGAAAAAAAAAAAAAAGGACATATTTAAAGCAGCAGTTCTCAAGGGAATGCGATTTTGTTCCCCAGGAGACATTTGGCCAGATCTGGAGACATTTCTGCTTGTCACCACTGGGGGGCAGGAGCGCTACTGGCATCTACCGGACACAAGTCAGGAACGCTACTGAATATCCTGCAGTGCATTGGGCAGCCCCACTCCCCCAAGAATTATCTGGCGCAAAACATCAATAGTGCCCGAGGTTGAGAAACTCTGAATTAAAGAAAAAAAATTCGGCAGTTGATGGTATAGGTGGAGATGAACAGGATGAGGGTCATGGAGGTGGCTGCGGGAATGACCTGAGTTTGGGTGCCCAGAGGGATCAGGTCCCTAAAGAGCTTGGCACGCAGTGGCACTTAATACATGTCTGCAGGGAGAGGGTGAAGAGCCTGGAGGGGACAGAAAGGCACTGCGGTGGCTGGAGATGCTCCAGGCCAATGGTCAGGACTCCCACGCTCTGGACAAAGCCCTCTGGGTGCCCCCTGGCCTCCCGTCCCGCATACCTTCGGGGCCGTCCCCAGGGGGCGCGCTGTCGCACTTGGCTTCGCACTGCTGCGTGGCCGGGGGCCGTAGAGCCTCTGCGCACTCGCGCGACGGCTGGCCGGTGTGGCTGGAGCAGCGCACCGCGCGCTGCTGCTGCCCGATCCCGCACTGTGCGGAGCACTGCGGGGAGTCGCTGCTGAGCCTCGGCTGGGCCGCCCCGGCCCCCGCCCCCGCCCCCAGGGCGCCGGCCTACCTCGCCCCACTCGCCGGTCACCCAGCGAGCCGGGGGACAGCGGCGCAAGTTGCAACGCATGGTGGCTGGCGGCTTGGCTGCGGGCGGGCAGTGCGCCGGGGGCAGCGTGGCGCGGTGGTCGGAGCTCTTGCACAGCACGACGCGGTGGCGGAGGCCTGGCCCGCAGCTGGGGGTGCACTGCAGTCGGAGAAGGGGTTTCATGCAGTTGGGCATTCCAGTCCCCTCACGCACGGGGGTGGGGGGGAGGATGGTGGTCCAGAGGGAGGCGAGGAGGGGTCAGCTAACCTCGGGCCGGTCGCGCGCGCGCACGGGGCGGGGGGCACTAGGTCTAGCAGGAGGGGCTTGTGATTGCGGAAAGGTGCCTCGGTGGGCACCCACTATGGGCATCCCAGTCTCCACGCGCCGCTGCACAGACAGCGGGTTGTGCGGGGGCGGGAAGGGGCGGCTGACCTCTGACCAGTCCAGGGCGGCCCACTCCGGCGGGCAAGCGGGGCCCTGGCAGGCCTCCAGCACCGGCGGGCGCGGCTGTGGGCACGCGCTGTCGTCCAGCGCCTTCTCCTCGGCGGCTGACACTCGGCGCTGGCACACGACCGAGCGGCTGCGCACCCCCGCATCACAGCTGCGGCTGCAGCGCGACCAGTTCCCTACAACCCAGCTGTGGGGAGGGGGCGGGTCTGAGAGAGTATGCAGGGGAGGGCACCCCGGGTCCGGGGAACTGGCATATCCTCCTCCTCCGCCCCAATAACCAGCATCTTTAGGGATCTGGGCACAGGCATGCCTGCTGCTTCTGCAGGGAGCACCCCCAGTGCGCACGGGGAATGTCATCACCCTGCACCCACACTGGGGGTGGGGAGGTGCATCACACCGCTGGAGATGATTTCCCCTGACTAGGCTAAGGAGCGTCATGGTTCTGACTCCCCCTGCAGGAGAGCCTTGACCCCACCCTGGGGAGCACTGTCACCCTAATCCTGGGAGCATTGGCATTCCTGCTCTTGTCACCCTGACCCTGCAACCCCCGCGGGCACTCACTCCGGCGGGCAGGGCTCCGTGTTGCAGGCGCGCTGCCTCTTGGGCAGTTTGCTGTGGGCGCTGCAATGGTGGGGGGCCACGGCGGAGCTGTCCAGCTGATTGCGGCACTCCACGGCCTGCACCTGGCTGCCTGGGGGTGGGCGAGAGACCCGCTCAGCTCTGCTGGGACCAGCAGGTGAGCCCAGGGGACCGGTGCCTGTCCCTGACCCCACCCCGACCTCACCGCCGGCACATTGGGCTGAGCACTTGGTCCAGGGCGCATAGTGCCAGGAGTAGGGGGGCAGCGCATCTCGGGCGATGGGCGCATTGAAGCGGTAGCGGAGGGCTGCCAGCTCTGTCCGGGCCAGTACCTGAGGTGGGGGAGGGGGCCATCAAGTGGAAGCCAAGCTCCGGTCCCCACAAGGATGCTAATGTCTTCCGGCACCTTGCTCCCACTATCGTTACCATGACGATGAGAGATGCATTTATGGGTCCCAGGGCTTCTAGGCTCTGCGTCTGATCTGGCCCCTGTCGCAGCTGAAAGGTGGTCCCAGCCAGGGGCAGGCGGTGGGGCTGGGGGGTCCCGGGCAGCCCCTCCAGCAACAGGGACTCCTGGTCCCCCTTCAGGGCTGGGGGGACAGCATCGGGGTCAGAACCCCAGCCACGCTGACCCCCTGCTGACCCCCAGTCCTCATCCCTCCATCTCCAGCTCACCCAGGTGACTGAGGGAGAGGTTCAGGTCCTGGATGAAGATGTGGACGGAGCCTTTGGGGATCCAGACGACTTCCTCATACCCTGGACGGTGGAGCTCAGATGTCGCCCACTTGACCCTTCCCCCACACCTTCCTACCTCCCCCATTCCTGGCCCTTGATGATAACAGCTAACCATTACTGCACTAAGTGCTTCCAGGGACATCACACTGCGTCCCCAGCTCTGGCCCTGTGATGTAGATGTGTCATCACGCCCATTTTACAGACAACAAGACTGAAGCTCAGAGAAGCTAAGCAACTTGCCCAGGTTTGACAGCTAGGAAGTGGCTGGGCTGGGGTTTGAACCCAAACTTTTCCTGCCTCTGACCACCACAATGGTCTGATCCACTCCCTATCCCCCAGCGCAGAGGGACGGGGGTGCTCTGGAGGCCCCAACCCACAAGGTGACATGCGGGGTTGACATGAGCAGGGTGACATTAGCAGAGTTAGGTTTGGAGTGGGCTCCACCACTTCGACCTGGGTCCCCTCCCATCCCCTGAGCCCCACACTGGGGCCTCACTGTGTGTGTTTGCTCCCAGGAGCCCCCCCCCACCCCCTCCCTGGGGTCTCTCTCCTTCAGCCCAAGGTTGGAAAGCATGCTCAAGTTCACCACACCCTGCAGATATCCCTCCCCTAGTTGGCCTTTTCCTCCAGCACAGAGCCAGCCCCTCAAGCCCCTGGCTCAGACCATGGAGAGGGGTCAACCCCTCTCTGCCTCCAGCCCAGTACCAGGCTCCCAGGATGGGGGAGGGGAAAGGTTTAGGTCACCACCCTCTTGGCCTGTTAATTGCCAAGGTTTAGGCACCAGAGCCCAAGCTAGTCCCTGACCCTGATCTGGGTCATTGCTATGCCCCTGGGACTTTCTGGGGTCCCCACTGGGCCCCTGGATCTGAGTAGCTGATGTTGGCTACTGTGATGGGGCCAGTCCTGCCCCCAGTCACCAAGTGGGCAGAGGGAGAGGGAATGGGGATCTCTCACCGGCTGCAGGAGAGGCTGCGCTGAAGACCCCCTCAATGGTTTCGCAGGCGCTGCCGTCACCACCGCAAACCCGGCACTTGTCCTCTCTCAGGTCGGAGCCCAGGACCCGGTCGCAGCCCACGTGCTGGAGAAGTGGGGGTGGGGTGGGGGGTGGAGTGTCAGTGAGCCCCCCTTCCCTGCCTTCACTCCCCCATCCCCTGCCCTCTCTAGGAGTCCCCTCCACCTTGCACTCGCCGCTGACGCAAATGTCCACCGTGTCGGGGCGGCAGGGCGTCCCGTCCACCACGGCCGCCGCTCTCTCCGTGTAGAAATTGAAGCCTTCGGCCAGGCATGTGAGTGAGCAGGCCTTCACGCCCCCTGGGGGGCACAGCCCCGTCAGACCGAGGGCCAGGCCACCTGGGACTCCCTGCTAGCTCCCGGGGGTGGTGAGGCAAAGAGGGACAGACCCCAGACCCAACAAGGATGGGCAGGTTGGGCAGAGGGCGTCGGGGTTCCCAGCGTCCAGTCAAGGAACTGTTGAGCCACATCCTGGGCTCTTCGGCCCCTTGAGTGAGGGGGCGCTCAGGGCAGACCCCATGATGCTGTATCCAGCTGCTGCCCTCCACTGCCCCATGGCTTCCTGGGTCCCTCACTCACCTCCTCGGTATGTCTTCCACGTGTAGAATTTTCCACGGAAGGGGACGCTGTCAAATTCAGAGCACTGCATTTCCCTGAAGTCCTGGGAGCCCGGGGGACAGTCCTGGGGGCAAGAGAGGGGAGCGGGATGGAGGCCAGCTATGGGGGATGGAGTTAGGGCACGGGCCCAAGGATGGAGGATGGATGATCCGAGTAGGGATGGCTTGGAGGGGTGAAGCTGAAGGCAGAGAGGCCAGGGAGGAGGCTGTGGAGGGCCAGGTGAGACTGGTTGGTGGCCCGGGCTAGGTCCAGGCAGTGGGGCTGGAGGGACAAGTACATCTGAGATGAGATGGAGCAGATGACTCATTAGAGTTTGGGGCAAGCTGGGGATGATGGCTGGGTTTCTGGTTTCAGACCACGAGGCCTTTCTTGAGAGCAGGCCTAGAAAGGAGCCAGGGACACTCATTGGGGGGGGGGCCGCGCACGCGTGTGGACTCCCTGGAGACACGAGCCTCTCCAGGTGGGGCTGGGAAGACCACTCACCCCCCACTCCAAAGCTCTCCCTGCCCTCTGAGCCGGCCCTGCTGCAGTAAGCCTTGTGCTTATTAGGTGTGTACACAGAAGACTCGCTCCCAGTCAGAAACCCCAACCAGCCATGGGGAACCCCAGCATTTAAATACGGGACAGCAGTGGAGAACAGGAGACAGAAGGTGTAGCAGGAGGAGCGTGAGCACCGGGCAAGGTGAGGGCAGCAAGGGGGGCGGGGGTGGGGTGGGGAGTTCTGGACAGAGGCCGTGGTTCCTGGTACCCAAACGTGACCACTGGGTTTGGTGACAGCGAGCTCAGCGACGGCTTTGGGGCGGGGCTGTGGGGGGGAAGTTTGGGGAAACTGGGCTTTGAAGGGAGGGGGTGGGCGCGCTATAGCTGGAGGAGGTTGTGGAAGTCAAGCAAGTTCAAGGTGGGAGAGTCATCTGAGAATTGGAAGGAGCCAGCCGCTTGCAGGGGAGCCAGGTCCTGTCGGCACCAGGGCCCAGGGGCCGGTGTCGGAAGGGCAGGGCAGGGCAGGGGTGAAGTGTAAGAGGGGCTGAGGATCCCGGCCTGGGGTCCTGGGGGAACTCACGTCGGTATTGCAGGAGCGGTGCCGCCGTCTCTCACCAAGGCAGTACCTGCCCCCGATTGTTGGCCTGGAAGGGGTGGGGGTGGGGGGACAGAAGAGATGTGGGGCCCGGGGGGGGGAGATAGAGGGGGGCCGCCCCGCTCTCTTTACAAAGGGGCCTGAGGGCTGACCTGGGGCTGTCGCAGTGACGGCTGGAGGAGGACACGCCGCCGCCGCACGTCCGGCTGCAGTCGCCCCACGGGGTCCACGGGCCCCAGGCCCCGTCCACGCCCTCCGGCCGCGACCCGAAGGGGACGCACACGCGCTTGTAGCACCACTACCGGAGGTCGGGGAGGGGGGGGGCGGGGAGAGGGAGGGGGGTGAGTCCGGCTCCGTAGACTCCGGGATCTCGGCGCTCCTTCTTGCCCCGCCCCTCCCCCCAGCCCGAAGTCTCAGCCCCCCTGGGATGGGACGGAAGGGGCGAGGGTGGAAGTGGGGTCTGGGCACCCGGACCCTGGCAATACAGGGGCGTGGCCTAAGCCTACGGTCGCCGCCGGGAGGTGAAACTGGCGCGGGGACCGGCGCGGCTGGAGTAGGGGCAGGGGGTGGCCTCAGGCCATGTGCGGGACCGGCGGGCAGTAGGCGTGACCAGAGCCGCGGGCGAACCCCAGCGGCCGCGCGGTGGGCGTGGCTCAAGGGCAGGAGGCGGGGCCCGGCTGGCGGCCTTGGCCGGCGCTCACCCCCTTGTCGATGGTGTGCGTCTGGCACAGCGTGCCCTCGGCGGCTGGAATGCTGTTGGTGATGCACCGGTTGCTCTTGCTCAGACACCACAGCTCGCTGCAGACCTCCTGCGGGCCAAGGCGCCCGCTCAGGCTCGCCCCCCGCCCTCCTCCCTCCGGCAGCCCGCCCGCCGGGCGGCGACCCGCTCACTGCCGCTTCGCAGTGGGGCCCCGGCGCTCCTCTGCTGGGTCTCCGGGAGCCTTCTTGAATCCTCCTGTGGGGCATGGCCTGAGACCTCCCCTCTGCCTTATGAGCTGCACTTATCCAACGTCCGCGTGTGCCGTAAGCTCCCTTAGGCATTATTACCCCTATTTCACTGTGAGAAAACCAAGGCTCAGACAGGTAAAGTCACTTGCGAGGGGCCACGCAGCTTCTGAGGGGCGGCCCGGGTTCTAACCCGGGCCTTTAATGGACCGCTCTGCGATCTCATCACTCTGGTACCTTCTGAGTCTCCAGACCTGCTCAGGAATGGAGACGATTCTGCATTCCTTGTTGGGATGGGTGCAGGGGCCCCCTGGGAGAACAGGAATTCTGAAAACTCGGGCCTGGAAGATGGCTCAGGTCAAAGGCCTCATCTCTAATTTTTTCCAGCTGGTGGTCCTCCTTGTTGCGGCCCCCCCCAACTGAGGAAGCTCCTGGAGCTTTTACTCTATGGAAGGCTGGGCAGGAACAAGGTCAGGCTGGATCTGGGTGGGACATTTCCTCTACTTCCCCCACTGAAGAATCTGCCCACCTTCCTGTCCAAATCCTGCTTGGGCTGGACCAGTCCCAGGAAGTCACTCTTGACCCTTCAGGTGAATATCCCTGGACTAACCCCACTGGGTTCAGGTGTGGCCAAATCTCTGACCCTCTAGTCTATATCCTGCCCCACCTCCCAGGATCTCCGCCGCCCCCCCCACCCCCAAGTAGAGAGCCTTCATTCTCCTTTTTATAACCATGTGCCATTTCCTCTTTGAACCTAATCTTTTCAAGTTTTGACGATCTGGGATTGGACCAATCAATGGCTGTAGGAAGGGCCAGCCTCTGAGAGACATGTGCACACACTTGAGAAGTTCGGAAGTTTTTCTCAAGTCGGGCTCCCTCAACCGTCCTCCAGAGTCCCTGCCTTCTGCTCCTTCAGAGGACACGTCTCAGCTAAAAACTCCAGCCTGCTTTTCTGGCTTCTCTTGGCTTGTGTCCTCCCGGCCATTTGTAAAAATATCACGGGCCCCCTCATCCCACTTCGGACCCCTCTTAAAGAGAACCGGCTCTTCCAGTCCTGCTTTTCCTCCTCTCCACAAGGAGGCGCTGTGGTGCACACGAACGGGCTGTGGGCCGCTCTGGGAGACTTCAGCTCCAATGGGGAATTGCGACACGGGCCCCCTCTCTCTATTTTCTCATCTGGGAGATGGGCCCTGCCTACATAAAAGGCTGAGAGGCATGCGAAAGAGATTGCATAAACTCCCTGTTATTGTGTAACAGTGACCACAGCTATCTCTGGACTAGGCACTAGGCCCAGCTCTTTACACACGTTAGCCAAGTTAATGTAGTCAATAATTTCCCCCTTTGCCAGGGGCGCCGGGAAGATGTTCCTTGGAGAAATAAAAGAAAGAATCAATTCAACATACAGCCAGCACTGGTCCATGCTCCATATTCTGACACTTTCTCCCCTCCCCCACCTCATTATAAAATTTGGAGTCACAGAGAGACCTGGATTTGCGTCCCAGCTCTGACATGTTCTTGAACTGTGACCTTGGGCAAGGCACCCTCCCTATGCCTCAGTCCATTTATCTGTAATGTGGGAGTAGCAGGATGGTCAAGAGTTTAAATGAGATGATATGTATCACATGCTTAGCACACAGTGCGTGCTCAGTAAATGTCAGCCATTGTCATCGTTCTTCAGATACCTGGGACACAGCAGATGCTGAAGGGTGGCTTCCAGACTCTTTGGAAGTTCGTTAAGGGTGCTGCAGTTAGTTACCAGCCAAGTTAGGGGAGGGTGGGCAAGAGTAGATTAAATAGAAATGATTCCAGGGTTTGTCTCCTTGTCTTGCCCTGGGATGAAGTGAGGCCATTTCAACAGTTGCCTTTTCCTGTGTTGAGTGAACATGGCCTTAGCTTGGACATGGCCGTCCAGACTCTGATCTTTGGAGTCTTGAGGAAGCCAGCAGGCCTCCAGCTTCCTGGGGGTGGCTGGGAGTGGGACCCCCAACTTGCTTCTCTACAAAAGGACGGGGCTTTGGGAAGTCAATCTAAACCTCACAAAGAGTGAGGGGTGGTCCGGAGGCTCCGAGCTTGTCTAGCCAAGCATCAGGGCCAGGCGATCTTGTGAACCAGTTGGTGGGGGATGTGGGGAATGAAGACAGGGTGTCCTTGGAAGGCTCTGCCCGGTTCTTTGCCAAGTGGGAAAGATGGTCCGTCCCCACGGAACTATTTCCACCCCATTCAGAATGTTTGGTGAAAAACTGCCCAATTAGGGGGCTTGGGACTTTAGTCCTGCTGTAGCCCACAGGTGGCCTGATAGGCTGGACAGAAGGTGGTACCCAAGGTCTCCCCAGCCCAGCCCCCAAAATCAGGGGTCTGGAGGACCAGGAGATCCCATTCTTCATCCCAGTCACTGAGTGCATGGGACATTTGTACACCCGTGCACCTCTTTTCCCCTGGCCCCTGCGGGGGCTCACCTCCTTCCCGGCTCTCCCACCCCCTGTGGCCCCTCCCCTCCCAGGAAGGAAAGCAGGAAGGCTCTCTCTACCCCGTATTTACACTGACGCGATTTGACTCCATGTTGGAAACGGCACTGTTCGTCTGCGTCGTAGGCCTGGCCAGGTGCCACCGTGGGGTACACGAAGTCCTGTCTGGGGGGCCGGTTGTTCAGGCACAGCCCCAGGCCTGAGCTGTGGTGAGAAGAAAGGAGCTGTCATGTTAGGGGGCTGCAGGCGAAGAGCTCAGGGGCCCCGGTGGGGTGCGGGTCCTAGGGTGCAGCCCTGCAGGGAACAGGACCCCCCTTCTCAGAGGCAGCTCTGGTTTCCAGACCCTTCCCCCTCCCCCCCAGCCAAGGTGAGTGGGAGTGTGGGCGGGCACGTGGGCACGTCCTCACTCCAGAAAGCTGGTGATGTAGTCACGGCTGCAGGACGACCACACAAAAGGGTTGGTCTTCATGGTGATGTGGGCGGCCATGAGCTTGGCCGGGTCCTGGCCACGGGCCCCACAGCTGTTCCCCACACCGTCGTGGTTCATGCCAAACCTGGGGAGAGCAGCCTGGTCAGCTCCACCACCAGGGCCGAGGAACCTGCCCTCTCCCCCCTGCCCCGCGGTGTCCCCGGCCTCACGTGTGTCCAATCTCATGGGCGATGGTGAAGGCAGTGGCCAGGCCAATGTCCTCGTTGATGCTGCAACTTCTCTCCCGCTCGCACATGCCGCCCACGGGGGCCAGGCCTGGGGAATGGGCGCGTGGGGCGAGGCTGGGCTCAGGCTATGCTGGCCGGTCCAGCCACCCTGCCAGGTCCCCACCCCGCCAGGGCCAAGCCGGGGGCACCCATCCGCTGCCTTCACAGGTGCCTGAAACCTACAGGGGTTAAGTACCTAGTGTGCCGCAGGGTTTGTTCCTATAGATGCAGATGTCATAGCTGTGGAAGGAGAGGGGCGCGGTCGGTCAGGGGCTGGGCTACCTCCCTAAGCCCTGCTGGTGCCACCGTAACCAGCTCCGGAGGCTCCCCTCTGCCTGGGAGGCACTACCTGCCTCTCGCCGGAGCCCCGCGCTCTGCCCCCAGCGGACCTCGGGGATGCTGGGGTGCGTATGTGACTGACTGACTGCATCAATGAGACAGTAAGTGAACGAGTGTGTCTGTGTCCAAGCGGTGGCCCAACTGTCCCTGCCTCCCCTCGCCCCCCCGCACCGCGGCTCTCAGGTTCCCAGCAGCCCCTCCCCACCCCTGGCTCCCCAGCCTCTCCCATCTCCCGGCAGAAGTGACCCCTGCCTGGACCTGGATGGTCCCCAGGACCACTCGTTCCCCCGGCCCACGTCCTGGAGGCCTCCCCGCCCCTCACCGCGTGATGAGCACCGCTGTGTCATGGTTGGCCACACCGTTCTCCGGAATGGCGTTGCCATGGCCGCTGCGGTTCACGATGGATTTCTGCCACTTACAGAAGCTGTCCAGGGACTTCCCGGCATGGTGGGTGATCTCCAGGGTGGGCTGCAGACAGACAGAGGGGCATGGGCGCCAGCCACCCCGGGGGGCACGTGCAGGGTCAGGGGCGGGTGGGGGGGCCTCGCACCTGGTCCTCCGTGAGCAGGATGAGGCGTGTCACCAGGATATTAACGATGTTTCCCAGACTCGAGTCCTGGAAAAGTTTGGCAACCTGACCTCCAAGAAACAAGAGAGACCGAGTCTTAAGAGGGGCCCAGAGCAAGAGACAAAAAGCGAAACAATGGCAACAACTCTCCTTCACCAAGTATCTCCTGTGTGCCGGGCCTCGGGCTAAGCCTGCTGTGCAGATCTTCGCACGAGTAGATCCAATTATCATTTCCGTTTTACAGAGGGGCAGATTGACACACAGAGAGATTAGGACACACAGCGGGTAAGGTGCCACAAGTGGGCTTCGTGTCTGGGTAAGGCTGCCTACAAAGCGCTGGTTGCTTACCAGTACATTTCTTTCTGACTCACCCTCATTCGGCTTGTCTATTTGTCCTCCATCCCTACCCACCCCTGCAGCAGCCTCAAGTGTCTCTGCCCAGAGGCGGCCTGAGGGAGTACACATTTGGTCTCATTCCACGGCTGTCTGAAGGTATCAATTTGGGGGCACCTGGGTGGCTCAGTCGGTTCAGCATCTGCCTTCAGCTCAGGTCAGGATCCTGGGGTCCTGGGATCGAGCCCCGTGTCCCCGCGTTGGGCTCCCTGCTCGGCGGGGAGTCTGCTTCTTCTCTCTCTGCCCCTCCCCTCTGCTTGTGCGCTCTCCCTCTCAAATCAATAAACAAAATCTTAAAAAATATATAAAGGTACCAATTTGAGCATCACCACAAGAAGGTGGAAGTGTGTGTGGGGGGGCAGGGAGCTCTGGAGACAGTGGTGAGGGAGAAGAAAGAAGTGCCCAGGGGAGAGGGGGCCACAGTGTGCAGCGATCTTGGAGCCTGGGGTGTCACTGTCCCATGCAGAAACCCACAGAAGTCCTGGCAGGTTCTAGGCAACTTTGAAAGCCCAGGTGAGGGAAGCAGGGCTAGGGTGGGACACAGCGCTCTGTCCCACACAATGTTATGTCAACACGTCGGGCCACACCTCTGTCTGCCGACCTTTTTCTCTTCCCTTTCTGCATCAGCGAAACAACAAGGCTCCTTGTCAGGCTCTTACTGCACGCCAAATGCTCTGTCTGGCGTCCCCCACCCCCACCCCCCCCGTCTTTCCCTCTGCGGTACATACTATGGCAACACTGTTTTACAAAGGTGGAAACTGAGGCTCAGAGAGATCCGGATTCTTGACTGAGAGCTGGTGTGGGCCCTGGGGATATCTGAGTGTGGGTCAGTGAGGTCACCTGTGTGAAGTTATAGGCAGGTGCCTGCAGGAGGATTCGGACGTGTGCCCATGTGGGTACTGCTGACCTCAAGTTCAAGCTGCGTCCTTGTTTCATACAGCAGATGCTTACGCAGCCCCTACCACGTGCCGGGTACTCTTCCATACACTATGTCGATTCACCGCAACCACCTGCGCCTTGTGAAGGAGGTACTATTACTATCCCCATTTTATGGGTGGGTAAACCGAGGCACAGAGGGGCAGTGACTGGTCCAAGGGCACACGGCTAAAAAGCAGCAGAGCCGAGATTTCGGCCGGGCCCTGCAGGCTGCCGGGTTCACGCTCCTGGCCGCCCAGCGAGGCTGCTTCTCCTCATTCCTTGCCAGACACCGGCCACCCTTCTCACCCCGCCCCCTCCATTCGGGTTCCCTGACCTCAGGAGGCCGGCTCCAGGTCCCGGGGCTCTGCGGCCAGGGAGGGGGAGGCACTTACAATGTTCATGATGGCCAGCACGTACTGTTCCACGTCTCGGCGCCCGTGGTAGGCCACCATCATCTTGTCAGCCACCACCAGGGTCTCCACGTAGCGCTCTCGGCTGACCGAGCGCTTCAGGCCTGGCTGGCCACGCTCAGTCTCATTCCCCAGGGGCCTGGCAGGTGGCGGCTTCAGCGTGCGCAGCCACCACGGCCGCCCCTTCCACGGCTTCTCGTCTGGATGGACAATTTCTGGTCATTCTACTGCCTACTCTTATGTCCACGACCGACCCTGTCTGGCGGCGCATCTGCCCCCTAGGCCGTCACACCACTCATGCTTCGGCTACTGGGTGTCCTGGTTGTGCAACGTCTGGCTGTACAACAGTCCGCTACCCAGATGATGGGCTCCACGCCGTCACACTGGTTGGTTTGCACAGCCGCCCCGGGCCCCACGACAACCAGCAAGACCGCGCCACTTCCTGAAAATTCCATTGCCCAAATGTAGGCGTGGAGCCGCCCGCCTCAGCATGGGAACGTGTGCCAGTGGGACTCTGTGGCCCTCCGACCATGCCACGTTCTTGTCAACGCACTGCCCAGCTGGGCAGCTGGAGGACACCCCACTGCCGGGGGGTCTAACTGCCCAACCAGTCTCACTGGCCGTCCGACTGTGAAACTACCCACCCTTCCGTTCGTACAACCGGCTGTGGTTTTAGGTCCCACTCCCAGATGGTTGGATTGCACACCTCATGTCACATCCCAGGGCTCCGAACTTGTCCCTGCAGCTGAACGACGGCCCTTATAAATATCTATCTCATCCAGCTTTCTTATCCCCCCACCCCCTGCACGTCTGATCAGACCCCTGTCCTCCTGCAACTCTGGTTGTAAATCGGACCTTCTGAACAGGGTTTGCACTGTACAGTGGCTCGAGTATCTGTCACTCCTCGGTCGCTTAGCTGTCTGATCACACTGTCATCCTGGAGATGGAGGGTTTTACACCTGAGCACCTGTCTCACTCACTGCTCGGCCATCAGACACCGCTGCCTGCCTCGGCCTCAAGGCAAAGATGTGCAGCCCCTCTGCCCATCCCCAGGAAGACAGATGTACCTCTTACTCCACAGGCTGTGTCCAGGTGGGGGTGACGCAGAGAGGAGCGCTTGTAGACCACATGGGGGCCACTCTCCTCCGGGCCCTGGGCCCCTCTGGGCCCACCTTGCAGGGGCTCGATCAAATATTCTTCTTCATCTGCCACAATCAGGCCATGCTGGGGGTTGGAGAGCGGGCGGAGGGCTGGATCAGATTTTGGTTCCCGGGACCCACGGGACCCTACCTCTGTCTTTACAGTTTCATTCTTTCCATCTTACTGGGTTTATGTTGCTTTTCCTTTTTTACCTTCCTGGGGTGGAAGTTCAGTTCATTCATTTTCAGCCTGACCCACGGCTACACATTGTCCTCAAAGTTCTGCTTTAGCTACATCCTAAAATAACTAATTCTTGTGATTAGCTCAAAATGCTTTAAAAATATCCACCAGGATTCCTTCTCTGACCTATATTTAGAAGTGTTTTTCTTAACTCCCAAACTGGTGGGCATTTCCCCCTGCTTCCCAGAGCCCTCCGCTCACCAGGCCCCCACAGGTGCTGATGGCCACATGGGAGCTGTCAGCCTGGCCCTGCAGGTGGCCGGCGTAGAGGCAGTGGGGCCGGGCAGCCCTCTGCCAGGCCAGGCCCTCCCGTGTCCAGTACTCCACGGAGACGTGCCCTGCTAGAAGGCGGGGGCTGCGGGTCAGGTTCAGCAGGAAGTGGGTGCTGGGTGCGGCCACCTTGTAGTAGAGGCGAGACTCTGGGTCTGGCCCCGTGCCCCGGCGCTGCCTCCGGGAAGCCGGGGGCGAGAAGGCCAGCAGGGCCCCATTTTGGTCCACTCGAGTGGGGAAGGCGATCTCATAGCTCTCCAGACTGGACAGGAACTCATCTGTGGGCGAGGGTCAGAGGCTTGGGGCGAGCCCTGGGAATGATCCGTGTCTTCGCTGCTTGGCTACAGGGCAAATGATGTTGGCCTCACTGACCCCAGGGCCCTCCCCCAAGTGACTGCCATCCCAGCCCCACTGACCCTTCCTCGGCTCCTCGTTCTCTCCCCATGCTGCCCCCAGACACCCCTACCTTGAGACCGGAAGGCGTGTATGACTTCGAATGTGAGGCCCAGCCCCAGGGTGAGGGCCCAGCGGAGGATCTGGCAGGCGGGAGCCATAGAGACCACGTGTCCACATGTCTCTCTCCAGCCCCGGCTGCCGGCAGCCCCCACAGCACCGCCTCCCCTGTTCACAGCCTGGGCAGCATCACCGGGCTCCTGGGAGGGAGGAGTTGGGTCAGGGGCGGGGCGCATGCCTGGTCCTGCTGCCCAGTGTGGCCAGTGCCAAGGCCCCTCACTCCCAGCCTCAGGGATGCCCGTGGCATTTCTGCACACAGAAGTCCCCTGTGCCCCTGTCCCCGCCCCCCTCATCCTCCCGATATTCTGAGGATACACAGGGGTCTTGACTCTGGGCACCTACTACATGCCAGCTACCAGCCTGAGTGTTTTCACACCATTTCATTTCATTTCCATGACAATCCCGAGGATTCGTTCCCTGGCTAATGATATGCATGGTATAGATGCCGTCCCTGCCCACCAAGGGGCTGTCTCCTGGGAGTGACCAAACGAGAGGAGTTCGGATAGTGACAAGTTCTCCAGAAATAATGGGGAGGCTCAGAAGCAGGCGGGCGGAGGATGAGAAGAAACTCATCATGTGAAGGGACAGGAGAAGGTGCCCAGGGAGAGGAGCGGCAGGGCCAAAGGCCCAGAGGCAGGGAGGAGCTTGACCCAGGACCACAAGGGCCAGTGTGGCTGGGCAGAGTGCCTGAGGGGAGCGTGCAGGAGGGCAGCAAGGGGAGGCTGGCCTGGGAACACACTTGAAGGCTGTGTTGGTCAGGGGGCATTTTCAGCCCAGGTTAAACCAGAAGCCGGTGCTTGGCTCCTCCCACTAACCCCACCTGACTTAGGCCCTGCCACTGGATCCCCTGCCACGGGGTAGCATTATTCACCCCTACAGGTGGCAGTCTGCCCCGTGACCTCTCCTCCACCCTCTGTTTCCAGCCTTGCTTCTGGTTCGGCTCCTTCTCCTTTCAGATTCTTCCTTCTGGAAGCTCTAGGCCTGCCCGGCAGGTCTCAGTTTCTCTGGCATCTGCCCCAGGCCAGCCTGCTGCGCACAGAAACCACTTTGGGCCACTACCCTGTGCCAAACCCTCCTCCCCACTCCTGTCTCCACCCTCCTCCTCCTCCTCTGTGCTGTTTCCCCCTTAATCACACACTGTCTTGTTTTCTTTGCAGCCTGGCCAAGTCTGAGAGTCGATCTCCAAACAGGGCAGTTCAGCACATGAGGGAGGGAGCCAGGTTTTCAACAAGATGCAGACTTAGAAGTTGACATTACCCGCTTCTGCTTGGACCCCTCCAGCAATGGGGAGCTCACTCCAAGACACTCTGCGACCCCGCGGCTCCCTCCAGCTGGGCTAATGATTACCCCTTGTTTTTCTGTTTGTTTTCACCTTTTGGGGGCTTCAGCTGACGGCCTGGCGTCGGACACCTGTGCGCGAGCCCCTCTGGGCCTCAGTGCCTCTTCTTCAGCGCCTGGACGGGGAGGGGGCAGTGAGGAGCTGGGCTGGGTCTGGAGTTCAAGGGTGGCTGAGAATACTCTGTCCTTCTCCCTGACCCTGGTGAACCTCCTCTTGGATTTCATCCTCCCTCAGGTCCTAGTCCCCCACCAAAGCTCCCTCGTGCCCTACTCGGCCTGCCCCTGCCCCCATCTCCTCTTGCCCCCTCTCCCCTACCCCATCCTGGAGACCTTGACCAGCTCTGATTAAACCGCTTCCTGGTCAGTTTCCCTGACCCCTCCCACGCCTCATTGCGGTGTGAGGCTGGAGCCCCCTTCCCCAGGCATGTCCCTCTCCGTCTTTCCTACACTGCCAGGCCTGGTACAGAATCTTCCTCCCCCAGTGGCGCTGTGGCTCTGGGCCTGGCTGCAGTGTCTTTGAGCCTCTCCTGCTCCCCACCCCTGAGGTCCTCACCCCGTCTTCCAGGGCTGGGGCCCTTCTCCCAATGACCTCACAGCTTCCCTTCTGCTTCTGGCTCAGGTGAGGTGTGGCGGGGAGGGTGTGGAAGGACCTGGCACAGGTGGCTGGGGATGGGGGGGGATGGGGGGGGATCTGGAGGGGGAGGGTACACAGGTGTCCCACCAGGGCGAGGTGGGGAAGAGCATCTGGGACGGTGGCCCTGCCTGCAGGGTGCTGGTGAGGTGTGACCTGCCCAGGGCACTGGGGGTACTGGGAACAGGTCAGTGGGTCTGGGGAGAAACTGATACCGATGGCAGGGAGGTTAGGGGGTTCCCAGCCAGAGCCTGGCTGGGGGCAACAACAGCAGGGGATCTACACCGGGGTGTGTGTGTGTGACTGCATGTGCGTGACTCTTGTGTGTGTAACCGTGGAAGTAGGTACGTAGGTGACTTTTTGTGTGGTGTGTGTGCCCATGTGACCCCGTGTGTGGCCATGTGTGTGCCCGTGTGGCTGTGTGCGCGCGCACACGCACGCACGCGCGCGCGTGCCCAGGCTTGGCCATTCCTCCCAGCCCCTCCTCCCAGAAGGCAGGAGGGAGGCGGCCAGCTCGGGGACGGTGCCAGCGCTGGAGGAGGAAATGCCGCGCGGAAGCGGCCCGGAAACAGCGGAGGCTCCATCCCATCCCAGTGATCAGGGAAGGACCCGCCGCTCCACACCCAGACCTCCTGGGCCGTGCCGGGGAGAACCGGTCACTCTGTGGAGGCCAAGGCCGAGGCCGCCCGGGCAGAGGCCTCCTCCAGGCGCTGCACATCTGGCTGGGCGGGAGGCAGACCCTGCCGGGAGAGCAGACAAAGGCCCGCCCGCGGCCTGCGGGAGGAGGGGGCCGGCGCCCTGGCGGGTCCCCCTCAACTAGCCACTAATTAAAGGCCCTGAGCCCGACGGGCTGGAGACACTCGGAGACAGACGGCTGTGGCCTCGGTGACCGACTCAAGGGAAGTGGGAGATGCCACTCCCACATCCAGACACACAAACACACACTGGTAGCGACGCGCACACTCGAGGGTGACCACACCTGCGCAGCTGGGGACCGACAACCGGACACCGCAGACCCACAAAGGGCTGCCGGCCCAACACACCGACACGCTCAGAACACACACATCCAGAGGCGAACGCACACGACACACAACCATACACTCCCCAGACCTATGTGCACACACACGTACACACTCATTCACAGAAGACAACCCAGAGACACACACACACTTGGGCCTACACACACAGACACGTACACACTCGTTCACACACTCACACCAGACAACGGACAAACTCAGAGTCCCACAGAACTTGACATACACACCAGACGCACTCACATACGGGCATTTACACACTTGTTACACTCAGACACACTCTCAGCACAGAGACACTCACACACTCACCTAGACATTTACACACACAGCAGACGGGCTTACACTCACACCTCTGCACACACACAGCACCCCATATGATCGCACACAAATTCGAACACACCCAGACACTCAGGGACATTTCATGCGGACACACACATGCAGACTCACAACACTCACACGTACGTGGATGCCCACACGCACCCCGACACACATACCCACACGCAGCAAACACACCCAGACAGCCGTCCACATGACCTCAGTGTCGCACACACTTAGGGACATCACACACCGACACAAGCCCCGAGGCTGGACGGTCCAACAGAGCGGGGCCCGCCGCCGTCCCCGCCCGACGCAGACACACAAGGTCACCCCCGGGCACCCCGCGCCGGCCCCCTCCCCCGGGCGCCCGCCGGCCCCGCCGAGCCCGCTCCCCG